GACACTATAGCCAGATTGAGGGGCTCCCACTGGCCAAATCCTGGAATATAAGAATCAGTATAAAAATGGTAATGGATTGTATAGCCTATTGAATAAAATAGGAATCCATTTTATCCATGACAGATGACAGATGAATGGATGGATAAAAAGGGAGGGCTTTTTCTCATAATAGAATGCAGACTGTTAAATGTGAAGGGAATGGTGGAGTTGAAAAAAAAAATCAGCATTTTATAATCATCATAGTGAAGATTGGGTCTAGAACATTCAGTGGTTGCTAAATCTAGAGGGAAACTTTGATGAGCAGGATGTTTTCATGGTTTGGAAGTATCTCTTCACAGATTACTTGTTAGATATAAGGTAGGAAACAGTAACTATAACTATATACATTGAAAAAGAACAGACAGTGCCTTGAGGAGGTAATGAAAATTAGTAACCTCAGGGAGGAACAGACAGACATTTTATTCCTATAGATAGATACCCTGAAAAGAACAATATCACCCTTGTAGTATTTTGGCCAAAAATGTATAACCAAAATCTAATACTGAAAGAATGCCAGACAAACACAAATTTAGTAACATTCTATGAAATACCACTGTATAGTCTTCAGTGTCATGTATAGTCTTCAGTGTAATGTAACAGTGTCATGAAAGACAAAGAAAGGTTAAGGAATTGTTCTAGATTAGAGGAGACCAATAAGACATGATAACAAAGTACGTGTGATCCCAAAGGGAGGGAAAAACATGTTTGTAGACATTATATATTTTTATTCTTTTTAGATGTAATCTGCAAGGGTATCTCATTTTAATTTTGTCATTTAATTTTAATGTAACATTACTAATAAGTTTGGATTTTAATAAATTCTAATCAATTTCTAATTTAACTATTTTGTTAATTTATTTTTAATAAATTATTATTTATTATTATTTATTTAATAAATTACTTATTTGATAGAAGGAGAGGGAGTGGCAGTGGCAGGGAGAGGGAGAGGGAGAAGCAGGTTTCCCACTGAGGAGGAAGTGAAGCAGGCCTTGATCCCAGAACCCTGGGATCACGACCTGAGCCGAAGGCAGATGCTGTAATGTAAGTTAGAGTTCCTAGATGGCTTAGTCGGTTAAGTGTCTGCCTGGGATCGAGATCCACATCTGGCTCCCTCCTCAGTGGAGAGCTGCTTCTCCTTCTCCCTCTGCCTGCTGCTGTCCCCACTTGTTCTCTCTCTCTGTCTTTGTCAAATAAATAAATAAAATCTTTTTTTTTTCAAATATTTTATTTATTTATTTGACAGAGATCACAAGTAAGCAGAGAGGCAGGCAGAGAGAAAGTGGGAGGAAGCAGGCTCCTTGCTTATACCAATACCAATACCATATATGAAAATTGAAAATAGATCAAAGATCTAAATGTAACCGTTAAATCTGTAAAACTTCTAGAAGAAAACTAGGGGTAAATCTGCATAACCTTGGTTTTGGCAAAGGATTCTTAGATATCACTCCAAAAACATGAACAACAAAAGAAAAAAATAGGTAAATTAGACTTCATCAAAATAAAAACCTTCCATATTTCAAAACACTGAAAGACAACCTATAGACTAGGAGAAAATATTTTTAGATCACATATCTGATAATGGCTTTGTCTAGAATATATAAAGAACTCTAACAGCTCGATAATGAAAAGACAATTTAAAAATGGGCAAAGGATCTGAATTGACATTTCTCCAAAGAAGATGTACAAATGGCCAAGAAGCACAAGAAAAGATGCTTAACATCATGAGTCATGAATTTAAAAAAACATTATGCTAGATGAAAGAAGCAAACACTAAAGACCACGTGTTATATGGTTCCCTTTATATGAAGTGTCCAGAATGGGTAAATTGGACAGGGAGAGAGAGGGAAGTTGCTGCTTAGGGCTGGAGTGGTGGGGAAAAGGAATAAGAGGGCAATTGCCCAAAGGTATGGGGTTTCTTCTTTTTTTTTTTTTAATAGAGTAAAAAATTTTAATGTAAAATACAAATAAAATTTACCATTTTAACCACTTTTTTAAAAGAATAGTTTGGAGTTTTTGAGGTGATAGGAGTTCTAAAATTGTAGTGATGTTTGCATATATCTTTGTACTAAAAGCTATTAAATTGTACACATTCAAATGTGATTGTATAGAATGTATACTATCTCAGTAAAGCTGTTAAAAGAAAAGAATATTGCTGTTAACACCTATTGATTAAAATCAAGGAGCTCACAGATAAGCAGAGAACATTGTGGAAAAATAAATTCATTGAAAAATGCTCAGGCAGGACTTATGTGGCTAGATCCACTTTATCCATTAGAACAAGTGGTGCAAGTTTCATTAACCAGTCCACTACTAATTGAAATTGATATGTTATTAGTTGTTCCCAGACACAGTGTTTCTTTTTAAAAAGTTTTGTTTTGAGGGACACCTGGGTGGCTCAGAGGGTTAAGCCTCTGCCTTCGGCTCAGGTCATGATCTCCGGGTCCTGGGATCGAGCCCCGCATCAGGCTCTCTCTTGTCAGGGAGCCTGCTTCCCTCTCTCTCTCTGCCTGCCTCTCTGCCTACTTGTGATCTCTGTCAAATAAATAAATAAACAAAATCTTAAAAAAAGAGTTTTGTTTCGAGAGAGCGAGCTTTGGGGAAGTGGCATGGAGGGGCAGAGGAGTAGGAGAGAGAGAGACTCCCATGCAAGCTCCATGGCCAGCACGGAGCCCAACACAGCCTGGCTCGATATCACCCCCCTGAGATCATGCCGTAAGCCAAAGTCAAGAGTTGGAAGCTTAACCAACTGAGCTACCCAGATGCCACTAAGAAGTTTTTTAAAGCAACTGGTAGAGGTATAACTTACATATGTACTATTTTTTTAACAAGTTTATTGAGATACGAGTTACATTCTGTAAGTTCACCAACTTTTAAGTGTACATTTCAATGATTTTTAGTAAATATTATTTATAGTCATCACCATAATCTAATTTTAGAACATTTTAATTTTGGGAAGTCATTAAAGTCTAGACTGAAGATGATTTCTTCCACAGGTAATTTGAGATGGTTCTTACACTTTTACTAACTTACTTTAAATATTTCAGCTATTCTGATGTGTGTTCATGCATGTGTGAATATGTGTGTATATAATAAAAGTTTGGCTCTTCTTTTTCAGAGAGGGTTTTTTTTTTTTTTTTTTTTTTAAGATTTATTTACTTATTTTATGGGCGCCTGGGTGGCTCAGTGGGTTAAGCCTCTGCCCTCGGCTCAGGTCATGATCTCAGGGTCCTGGGATTAAGTCCCGCATCGGGCTCTCTGCTTGGCAGGGAGCCTGCTTCCTCCTCTCTCTCTCTGCCTGCTTCTCTGCCTACTTATGATCTCGCTCTGTCAAGTAAATAAAATCGTTAAAAAAAATTTATTTACTTATTTTAGAGATAGAGCAGGGGGAGAGGGAGAGAGAGAACCCCAAGCTGACTCCCTAAGTGTGGAGTCCACGCGGGGCTGGATCCCACAACCCTGAGATCATGTCCTGAGCCAAAACCCAAGAGTTGATGATTGCTTAACCAACTGCGCCACCCAGTTGCTCCTTTCAAAGAGTTAATGATCGTATTTCTGTTATATTTTTAATCACTTCGTTTTCAGAATTGCCCCAAGAGTGGTAAATAATTATGGTATATTGTAGCAGTATTAATTCTGATTAGCAGTTGTTTACAATAGACATGATTTGTCATGTTGAGGAATTACCTTTCTAATTGAGGTTTTCTAGGAGTTTGACGTTTCCTGCAACTGAGTACCTTTAGTGTTGGCCCCTTCCTGCATTTTCCATTTATTGAGTGCTGTTAACATGTATTTTTCCCCTCTGACTTTTAATAAATAAGGGGCACCTGGATGTCTTAGCCTATCAAGCGTCTGCCTTCTGTTCAGGTCAGGTTGTGAAACCGGGGTCCTGGTGTTCTGGGGTCCAGCCCTTTTGGGCTTCTTGCTCACCTGGGAGTCTGCTTCTCCCTCTCCCTTTGCCCCTCCTCCTGCTAAGCACTTGAGCACTCTCTCTCTGTCTCTCCCCCCTCAAGTAAATAAAATCTTTTTAAAAATGTGGTAGATGTTTTCCTACTATCCAGATCTTTTGCATTTCTTTGATTATAATATATTTTAGCCAAGTGAAAAATTTACTTTAATGCTTTATAATACTTGGTTTTTAAATTGTATTTAGAAATCTTTTGTCTGTATTTTCAAATCAAATTGGTACTATTTTGTACTGTTTGTGAAATTTTAGTTATTGGGTTATACTGCCTTCATAAAATTAATGGGATAACTTTTTGTTACTACTTATATCCTGGAAAGTTCCCCTGGTAAAGCTGTTTTCCACTTACAACTATTTTAAAGACAATTGGAATTCTTTTCAATCTGCCACTGTTGTTTTCCTCACATTTTTTCTTTAGATCGGTTTTAGTAATTTTAACTAGAAAATTGTCCATTTCATTGAGATTTCAAAATTTATTAGCATAGTCTTATATATATATATATATATATATATATATATATTCTAGTCTTGTTTTGTCTCTGTTTATAATACTATTGAAATTTATGGGCGCCTGGGTGGCTCAGTGGGTTAAGCCTCTGCCTTTGGCTCAGGTCATGATCTCAGGATCCTGGGATCGAGCCCCTCATCGGGCTCTCTGCTCAGCAGGGAGCCTGCTTCCCCGTCTCTCTCTGCCTGCCTCTCTGCCTACTTGTAATCTCTGTCTGTTAAATAAATAAATACAGTCTTTAAAGAAAATTTCTATATTTTTTCTCTCAACTAAATCACTGTAAGATAAACCTGCTTTTTCTCTCCAGTGTATGAGCTCCTGGATAATTCGATGTTTCATTATATATTTACTTTTTTTAAAATATGTTTTTAGTAGCACTTTTGGTGTCCTTTTTGATATGACAGCTTATAAATGCTTAAATTCTGAGAGAAATAATTGCCTAGATTTAATCTGTTCATTTTAACAATGGTCTTTGCTTTGTTTTTTTTTTAGGCACGAGATGTGCGCACCAATGAAGTGGTGGCTATCAAGAAAATGTCTTACAGTGGAAAGCAGTCTACTGAGGTAGGTAAAATGTATGCATTCTTATTCACACATTAGAGAAAGACATGCTATTTTTAAGGGGGATAGATGGGAATCCTTTAAAAAATATACATAAAGAAAAGTATACAAATATTAAGGGTATATATAAGTGAATTTTCTTTCAGAAACTAAATATGCTCATTAAAGTGTACCTAAAGCCATAAACAGAACATTAATGGCCTCCCAACTTGTGCCCCTAGCTTTTTATTTTTTAGTATATGTGCTGCTGAAGTGAGCTTACTTTTAAAACTGTGGTTTAATATATTACTTTATCTGTATCATAGGGAAATCATCAGTTTTTAAATAAGTAAACTAGAATAAGATATATGTGACAATAGATTATATTGTATATAGTTTTTTAAAGGTTTAGACATTGTTTAAGGCTTATTTTAAATTTTAATAATCAACAGGCAGTTATATCTAGTCTAAATATAGTGTGTAATAATTTGAAAAACAAATTGATACTACATTGATATTACTTTAGTTTGCTAACATTCTGATTCTCTTCAGATTATATTTATTCTATTGTATAAATTATTTTATGACATGTATTCTTTCTAAATCTAGGATTTTTATACTTTAATTTTTTAAATTAATTATTTTAATTGTGGTAAAATACACACAACAAAATTTATCATCTTAACATCTTTAAATGTACAGTTCAGTGGCATTGAAGCCATTCACATTGTCATGCAGTCATCACCACCATTCTTCTCCAGAACTCATTTCATCTTGCAGAATTGAAATTCTATACCCATTAAGCAATAATTCCCCATTCTCTGCATCCTCCACCCTTGGAAATCACCATTCTCATTTCTGTCTCTATGAATTTGATCACTCTAGGTGTCTCATGTAAGTTAAATCATGTAGTATTTGACCTTTTGTGACTGGCTTATTTCACTTAGCATAATGTCCTCAGAGTTCATCCATGATATGGTATGTGTCAGAATTTCCTTCCTTTTTAAGGCCGTATAGTGTGTGTGTGTGTGTGTGTGTGAACTACCACACTTTGTTTATCCACCCATTTTTCAGTGGATAGTTAGGTTCCTTCCCTCATTTGGTTATTGTGCTGCTATGAACTGGCTATGTAAATATTTCTTTGAATCTCTGCTTTCAGTAATTTCAGGTATATGGCTAAGATGGAATTGCTGAGTTAGTGTTTACTTTTTGAAGATTTTGGTTTTCTGCCTTTTTTGGAAGTTCTGTTTTATGGTAAATTTAATTTTTGCGAAGATTGTATTGTGGGTATGGTAACACTATTATGATTATATTACTCTTTCATCATTTTGATACCTAAAAATTTTTCTAAAAATTCCTGAACCTCTAAAAAACTCCATTTCTTACAAGTTCACTCTAATTTTATTTGCCATTCTATAGCACAGCTGTAGGAATAGCTTTCACAGGCAGACTGTGTTGGAGTCTATTTGATTAGTTACACCTAAAACAAAGTTTCATTTAGTTTATCATCTTTTCACATCCAATTGTTAGTGTCCTTCATGAACGTCCTTTTTACCTTGAAGAGTACAGGCTTTTGCTTTGTTCTGAGTTTGGTCCCAGAGCATTCAAATTTGAAATTTAAAGCCCATGAAATGTTTTTTCAGAATTTTGCATTTTAATATTGTACACATTTTATATAAAACACTGTAAACTTATTTTGCTGTATTTTGTTGAGGACTTGTGAAATATAATAAGAAATAAATGATCTTAAAGTTTAGTACAAAATATTTCTTAAAGTTTTCTATTATGCTGGTAGTTTCTGTGCCTTTAGAAATATGGCCCAAGTTAGTAGAAAAGCTTGAGAAAACTAAAACAACAAAAAACAGATTCCTAATTCCCATCACACATCACTAAGCCTCTAGAATCTTTGAGTATGAATCAAAGGATTTGTAATTTTAGAGTTCCCTGGTTGCTTTTTTTTTTTTTCCTTAAGATTTTATTTATTTATTTGTCAGAAAGAGAGAGCACACAAGCAGGCAGAGTGGCAGGGAGAGGCAGAGAGAGAAGCAGGCTCCCTCCTGAGCAAGGAGCCCGATGTGGGACTTGATCCCAGGACCCTGGGATCATGACCTGAAGTGAAGGCAGCAGCTTAACCCACTGAGCCCACCCAGGCACCCCTCTCTGGTTGCTTCTTAAGAATATCTATGGAGGGGCGCCTGGGTGGCTCAGTGGGTTAAAGCCTCTGCCTTCGGCTCTGGTCATGATCTCAGGGTCCTGGGATCGAGCCCCACATTGGGCTCTCTGCTCCGCGCCCCCCGCTCTCTGCCTACTTGTGATCTCTGTCTGTCAAATAAATAAAACAAATCTTAAAAAAAAAAAAAAAAAAAGAATAACTATGGATATGGCATAAGGTTGTCATGGAATAGCTTACGGCCAGAGACTTACCTGTATTTCCTCAAAGCCATCAGTGAAGAAGTAAAATATATAAGAAAATGTTTTCATACTGCTTGCTTTTTTCTGTGACCTTTCCTATATAATAACAATTGTTTACTAGCATTTAGAAAGTATGCATTTAGGAATTTAAATCTCAAAGTAATTATTTGAGTTTAAAAAACATAACCTTAATATTTGATAGAACATATAAGCCAAAGACACAATAGGTGACCTATATGACATGTAAATTACATGTTAATAAATCTGCACATAATGGGGAAATTGATGGGACACCTGGGTGGCCCAGTTGGTTAAGGTTAAGTGTCTGTCTTCAGCCCAGCTCATGATCTGGGAGTCCTGGGGTTGAGCCTACAGTCAGGCCTCCTGCTCAGTGGGGAGCCTGCTTCTCCCTCTCCCTTTGCCTCTCCCCCACAACTTATACTCTCCCCCTCTCTTTAACTCAAATAAATAAGTAAATCTTTATTTCTTTTATTTAAATTCATTTAATTAATATAATGTAGTATTGGTTTCAGAGGTACAGGCCTATGATTCATCAGTCTTATAAAATACCCAGTGCTCATTATATCACATGGCCCTCCTTAATATCCATCACCCAGTTATCCCATCCTTCTACCCCTTCCCCTCCAGCACCCTTAGTTTGTTTCCTGTGATTAAGAGTCTCTTACAGTTTGTCTCTCTGGTTTCGTCTTGGTTTATTTTTTCTTCTCTTCCCCTATGATCCTCTGTTTTATTTCTTAAATTCTGCGTATCAGTGAGATCATATGATAATTGTCTTTCTCTGATTCTGATTGACTTATTTCACTTAACATAGTATCCTCTAGTTCTATCCACATCATTGTGAATGGCAAGATTTCATTTTTTTTGAAGACAGTATTTATTTATTTGCCAGAGAAAGATCACAGTAGGCAGAGAGGCAGGCAGAGAGAGAGAGGAAGGGAGGCAGGCTCCCTGCTGAGCAGAGAACCCAATGCGGGGCTCGATCCCAGGATCCTGGGATCATTACCTGAGCCGAAGGCAGAGGCTTTAACCCACTGAGCCACCCAGGTGCCCCAAGATTTCATTTTTTGATGGCTGCATAATAGTCCATTGTGTGTGTGTGTGTGTGTGTGTGTGTGTGTGTGTTTACACACCACATCTTCTTTATCCATTCATCTGATGGACATCTGGGTCCATTCCATAATTTGGCTATTGTGAACACTGCTTCCATAAACATTGGTGTGCAGGTGCCCCTTCAGATCACTACACATGTATCTTTGGGGTAAATACCCAGTAGTGCATTTGCTGGGATGTAAGGTAGCTCTATTTTCAACTTTTCGAGGAACCTCCATACTGTTTTGCAGAGTGGCAGCATCAGCTTCCATTCCCATCAACAGTGTAGGAGGGTTCCCCTTTCTCTGCATCTTTGCCAATAGCTGTCGTTTCCTGACATGTTAATTTTAGAGATCCTGACTGGTATGAAGTGGTATTGCATTGTGGTTTTGATTGTATTTCCCTGATACCAAGTGATGTTGAGTATTTTATGTGTCTGTCGGCCATTTGTATGTCTTTGGAGAAATGTCTGTTCATGTCCTCTGCCCATTTCTTGATTGGATTATTTGTTCTTTGGATATTGAGTTTGATTTATAGATTTTGGATACTAACCCTTTATCTGGTAAGACATTTGCAAATATCTTCTCCCATTCTGTAGGTTGTCTTTTGGTTTTGTCCACTGTTTGCTTTGGTGTGCAAAAATCTTGATAAGTCCTAATAGTTTGTTTTTACCTTTGTTTCTCTTGCTTTTGGAGATGTGTCTAGCCAGAAGTTACTGTAGCCAAGGTCAAAGAGGTTGCCGGGCCTGTGTTTTCTTCCAGAATTTTGATGGATTCCTGTCTCACATTTAGGTCTTCCAGCCATTTTGAGTAAAATCTTAAAAAAAAAAAAAAAAAAAAAGTGGGGGTATTGCTTGGGTGGCTCAGTCAGTTAACCATCTGCCTTTGGCTCAAGTCATGATCCCAGAGTCCTGGGATTGAGCCCTGTGTCAGGCTCCCTGCTCAGAGAGGGGTCTGCTTCTCCTTCCCCCTGCTCTTGCTCTCTCTCTCACCCCCTCAATAAGTAAGTACTTACAATAAGTAAAATAGAAAAAAAAAACAAAAAGGGGGAAGTTGAACTAATGGAGAAAAATCACTGTAGTATATAGGTTTCATCAACATGCTTGGTGTGTGATGGTAAAATTTTAATGAGACTCGATGATAAATTTTATCAAACTGAAATATCAAAAGGAAGCCTGCCTCCCTTCCTCTCTCTCTCTGCCTGCCTCTCTGCCTACTGTGATCTCTCTCTGGCAAATAAATAAATAAAGTCTTTAAAAAAAAAGAAATCGTGCCATTCACAGTGATGTGGATAGAACTAGAGGATACTATGTTAAGTGAAATTCATTATTGCCTTGAATAAAATAACTTTATAAATTATGAATTGAGTTTAAACTATATAAATGAAATTACTTTTAAATTTATTAGTTTGCTATTAAGTATTAAAATAAAACAAAGTTGTATGTTTTCATTAACCCTGCTTAAGCTAGTAATTACTTTTTTCTTACATAACTTTCTAAGGAAAAGCAACTGTTCATAATTCTTTTCTTTATTCCCCCCCCCCAACAGAAATGGCAGGATATTATTAAGGAAGTCAAGTTTCTACAAAGAATAAAACATCCCAACAGTATAGAATACAAAGGCTGCTATTTACGTGAGCACACAGCATGGGTAGGTGTTTGCTCTCTCCTTGCTATAATTTTGTTGCTACTGGTTTAGAATGAATTAATTCAAGAATGTCTCAAAATGGTTGTGTAAAGCCATTCAAAAACACCTTGAAATGTTAGTTTCATACTGAGTGAGGAAGAGAAGCTTTTCTTAGAACTCCTTGGCAATAAGAGATAATAGAACTTGTACAGGTTTACTGCAGAGATTTGGCTGACCTTTATGTGCGTGGTAAAATGTTCTCTGACATTTTTTAGTATTATCATTTTTCATATGGTTTATCAAGCATTGTACAATACTATTATTCGAGGATAAAAGTTAGCATATCTTTTTGACATAAATACGTTGTAATCTATTTAACCACACAGATTTGGTGAATTTTGGTGAAATATGTATTGATTATAATTCTTTGGCTGAATAATACTAATGGTAGAAAAGTGAGACACTTTATTACAACAAGTGGAGATTAATTTTCTCTTTTTCCCATTAAAATGACAAGGTAGTATTCCAACAGTGGTATAGGCATAATAACTCTATCTTTAAAGAGTAAGTTTTCAGGGTGCCTGGATGGCTCAGCAGTTAAGTGTCTACCTTCAACTCAGGTCATGATCTCAGGGTCCCGGGATTGAGACCTACATCGGACTCCCTGTTCAGCAGGGAACCTGCTTCTCCCTCTCCTCCCCATTTGTGCTATCTTTCTGTTGCTCTGTCTCTCTCTCTCTCTCTCAAATAAATAAATATATAAAATCTTAAAAAAAAAAAAAAAGAAGAAGAGTAAATTTTCTTTTAACAGAAATGGATAATAATAGGGCCTACTTTATAAGGTGGTTGTGAGGATTAAATTAGTTAATATGTATAAAATATCTAGCACACAGGAAGTCCTCTGTATTTGCTTTAAGGAAGCATTTAAAACTGTAACCTAACCTTTGTACATATAAATCCAGAGGACAGTTTTCCATTTCCTAATAGTTAGAACAATGTAACTATATTCCTTTATAGTTTTAGTTAGTAATTATAGATGAAATATACATCTTGTACAAGTGATTGTGTATTGGCATAAAAGATTAATGTATTATTGACTTTATCATTTAAGAAATTACTAAATACATAAATACTTATTTTTTAAGGTAAATGATGACTAGCTTTATTTTACTTCAGGCTGTCTTCTTAATCTCCTTGGTGAATTTATTTTATCTCAAATAGAATCTTTTTACTAATTTAGTGCTTTTACAATTTTTCTTCCCATGTAGCTGGTAATGGAATATTGTTTAGGATCTGCTTCAGATTTACTGGAAGGTAGGTTTCCTTTAATTATTCAGAAAAAAAAGTATTAGCAAAAATATGAGAATTCTGTAAGATTTTCTTAAATAATGTAAAAACTTTCCAGAAAGAGTAAAAACCTTCGCCTTTTCTAGATTCTCATCATAGTATGCACTGTCCTGTAGTAGCATAAAATAGGTGAATTTTCTTATATTATAACTTACCAAGCATTTTTCTTCATTCTTTGTCGTTTAGCTTAACCTATACCTTCTGTTCAGAATGAAGATGTATGAGAATAAAGGGAAAACTTGTCTTTTGTTATTTTTGTTTTTATAATCAACTAATTGTTGAATGTTAGCTTAGAGGGAAATTGGCTGTGAGCTATATACTTTAACAGTTAGGCACAACTGTAATTCCAGTTATAAATTTCAGTAGCCTTGTTTTATTGTTTTGGGGAGCAAATCTTCTCACTAAATGTTAGTTTTTCAAAATAGCCTGAAATATTAGATGTTTATTTTTTTAAACAAAAATATTCTGTGTAGTAATTATTTTCCCATAAATTCTTACTTTAAGTTCACAAAAAGCCATTACAAGAAGTGGAAATAGCAGCAATTACACATGGTGCTCTCCAGGGATTAGCCTACTTACATTCTCATACCATGATCCATAGGTAAGTGCTTTGACAATTATCATGTATTAACAGCAAATGACTTACTGGGTTTATCAACCATAGAACTTATTAACACTAAAAGTTTTGTTGGTTATAGCCAAATAAAAGCATTTCAGAATCTTATAAACTCAGTTTTTAGGTTGTCCTGCAAACATGCCAGTACATTTGATCTCCTTTTAGAATCAGTTGTTTTTTTTCTATAATGATAAAAGATTTAATTCAAAGTTAAATTTTAATTTTCCTTTTAGGATCAGTTTTATCTTTGTCTACATGTGGTGCTGGGCTTTCTGACATTTCTGCACTTTATAGATTTGTGGTAGGAATATAATTGTAGAATATTTAATTTGGTATATGGAAAAGAAATTAGGAATTATGTAGTCTTACTTTTTTCATGTTACAGATAAAGCAGTGCCCCAGTTTATGACTAATTTTTCTGAAGTTTACAAAGCCAGACTAGTCTAGAACTAGACTTTGGTCTTTTGCATTTCTGGTAATGGATAGGCCAGTTTTGTTCCATTGATCCCATGACATGGACTTAACACTCTGTACTTTTGAGTATTAATCCTTGATGATCCCTAATAATGGATAGTAACGTTAAGAGTAAACTATTTTATAATGCATTTTTAGCATTGATACAGGTTTTGATTATCTTAAAAGGAAACTAGCTTGTGAACCAGGCAGTATATATTAAACTATATAGTAGAGTCATTGTGAGCTAAATGGCTTACCATTTTTTTTAAGACGAGGATAGTAAGGTCCAAGAGAAGTCTACATGCTAACAAATAAGTGAATGGAAGAGTTGGAATTAGAACTTAAGGTCTTATCAGCCTCAAAATACCTCTTCTCATTTAAAAAGCAAATGGAAGGAAAAAGATTTATTTAATATTATATCCATTACAATACTATAGTTAGAATTGACAAGTGCTTAGAAATTTGGTTGGGGTTTTTTTGGTTGGTGTTTTGGTTTTGGGGGTTTTTGTGTTTTTGTTTTTTTTTTGTTTGTTTGTTTGTTTTTTTTTTTTGAAGGGTTAAATGTATGTTATGGTACCAATTGCACATACCATCCTATTATATAAATATCCATAATATTCTTATTTTGCATGGATAATATGTTTGCTAATTTTAAAAAGTAAGCTTGAAAGTAAATTAAAAATAAAACCCATTAGATACTACATTATCCATGTGTTTCAGTTTTATTTCATGTTTAGTTAGGAGAACTATGGTAAGGTTTGGAAATGATAAGAATAACCTTCAAAAAAAAAACAAATTTGGGGTATTAGATCTTTTTTAAGTTTACATGGTACACTCAGAAATCTTAAAATTATGAAGGACTCATCAGCTAATTAAACTATTTTTAAAACCATTATTTGTATCAATAAACAGGAACTCAAGTATAGACTATGCTCTAATTACTTGATTTTATGTCTTTTGTCTTTAGTGCTATTTTGTCTTTTAGAGAAGAAAATTATCACTGTATATTTATATCACTTCTCTATTTTTTGCTTTTGGATCTTAATTCTCATTATCCTAATTTAGAAATTATCCTAGGACTTAATTACTTTGATTTTTCCTTCCCTATTATAAAACTTTTTACTTGATTTTTATCATTTTCAACACAGTCTAATGAACAAAAGAGAAATAATTTTCTGTGTTCCTTAAACCCAGAGATATCAAAGCAGGAAATATCCTTCTGACAGAACCAGGCCAGGTGAAACTTGCTGACTTTGGATCAGCTTCCATGGCATCTCCTGCCAATTCTTTTGTGGGAACGCCATATTGGTAAGAATAATCCTATTTGCTATTGATCCTCGTGATTGAAATAGGAAATGTGTGATTATACTTTTTCAGATGTCTTACCTTTTTCTTGTATTATAATGCCATTGTGGACATTTTAACTTTTTAAGCATGGTTAGTTTCAGATATAGATTTGGAGTGCTGCCCTTACATCTCCTGTTTTTTTCATTTGTCCCCTTGACATTTTCTTCTGTATTATAACCTGCATTATATTTTGGGTGTGGGAGTAAAAAAATTCAATGAAAATCCAAGTGAGGAGAATACAGAAATGCTAAGTGGAAATTTGTGTGTTTTCTTTGTATTTTTATTTACCATATATTAGTACCTTCAGACTAAGAGTACCGGAAGGAAGACTGATGGCTGATATGGAGTTTTCTGGTTTTATTTTTTATTATGGAGAATTTCAAATACACATAAAAGTAGACAAAAGTATAATGAAACCTTGCATATCAGTCACCCAGCCCAGTAACAGTATCTCATGGCCATTCCTGCTGTATGTACTCATTTTTGTCTCCTCCCTGCCCCCGCCATTATTTTTAAGCAAATTCTAGGCATCCCCTGTTTTATCCATAAATAATTTTTGTATTAATGTCAGCAAGTTTGAAGGGAATAATTGTCCAGCTCTTCAACTTCCATATGTTCTTCCATATGAAGAGAATGATGTCTTAGGTCCACTCTATCTTCTTTCCCACCTACCTTTCAAATCTCCCTCTCCTGCTTTATAAAAAATAGGACTCCTTACCCAGCCTGAATATTACAATGATGCAGTGGTCTGGGATATAAAAGCCTCAAAGCAACACCAGAAGAATAATTTGAGAATCTGTAGTAACAGAAATTTTGAAGAGTCAGAACACAAACTCTTGGCAAGGCTTTGTGCCTTTTCAGTCATCTCCATTCCCTTTTCCTCCTTGCTTTTTCTCTCTCCTCAGTTATCTTTCTCCCCTTCTTTTTTTCTAGTGTAAAATTTGTAACTGAGATGGTTGTCATGGGGACACATTAACATATTACTTGCATAGAAAATGAAGTCAGACTTTTTCCAACAGAAAGTGATTCTGATTTGACTGATTGATATGACAGTGAAGACTGGCTTTGCTAATTGGCTTATACAACAGTGTGTTGTTTTTTAATAAATCAAATGAGCTAATTCTGCAGCTCTGTGTTTTAAATATTGTTAAATCACATATAAAGCATAAAAGTATATGCTATGCATTATATCCTTTATAGCTATTAAGTTTATAAAATTTAGATAACTCAGAAATGTACAAGGGGATAAATAATTTTCATAAATTCATTAGAGGCAAACAAATTTAAAAATTTGAAGAATTTCTACTCTTCCATTGCTCTAGATGACCAAAAATTTCTTATGTCCTACTTTAGGTAGACTCCCTTTCCCTTCTATTCAAAGGATTCTGTGAGCAAATATTTCTTAATATTTGCTTAATGGTTCTCCTATTTATAAATTAATGGTGAATACTAGATATTTAGAAGGTCTTGAAAAGTTCTGCAATAAAAAATAAAATTACTTGTTTAATTCTGCCTTAATTAGTAATTTCCCAAACTTACTTCAACATCTGAAAGAATCTTGAGGGGCACCTGGGTGGCTTCATTGGTTAAGTGTCTAAGTTTTTTTATTTCTGCTCAGTCATGGTCTTAGGGTCACGGGATCTAGCGCCATGTCAGGCTCCATGCTTAGCATGGAGCCTGCTTAAGATTCTCTCTCTCCTTCTCCCCCTGTCCCTCCCTCCCCGTTTCCCTCCCTTCCTCCCTCTATTAAAAAGAAAAAAAACAAACATCTTGGAAATACTCTGGTATTGACAATTGAAAATTTACTTTATTTACATATTCATTAATTTGTATATAATGTACTTGGAATGTAGGAACTAGGTACATATTTAGATGTCATTACACTTAAGCTTAAACACACTCACACTCGGGTATATGGTGACCGCCCTACCTAAGTATCAACAATTGTTCTAAGTGTCTTTCTATCTTTAACAACAAATACAAGTCAAATACCATCAAAAATGTTAGACTCTAATTAGAGACATGAATTAATGTTCCATTTTATAACCAAGACACCTGTAAGGTTGATAATTGTGTTATTGTCTTGGTTGTGAGCTGCCCTAGCCACTTTTATCATGGAACACTATTCCTATTTAAAAGGAAGAGTGACAAACTATGGTTATTAAGTGTTGGTTATTTGGCAGATATTTTCTAAAATAAATGAAGTGAGCTTGTCACTGCAGGGAAAACGATTGATAGTATTCTTTGCCAGTGATAAAAATTACATCTTTCAAGCACGAATCAGACTTTGATAGTAACATCCTGAGACCAAAATATTTAAGAATCACTGGCCTGAGGGGGAGTGCCTAGGTGCTTCATTCAGTTAAGAGTCTGACTTTTGATTTTGGTTCAGGTCATGATCTCAGAGTTCTGAGATCAAGCCTCAAGTTGGGCTCCACTCTGGATCTGGAGTCTGCTTAGGATTCTCTCTCTCCCCATCTGCCCCTTCCCTACTCTCTCTCTGTCTCTTAAAAAACAACCACCACAAAAAAAAAAACTATAAAAAAATAACAACAACAACAGAAAACCCCACTGAGTTTAAAAAAAAAAAAAAGTCACTAGCCTAAGGGCTAAGGGTTATACAATATTAGAATATGCAACCCTGCTCTGGGGCATCTTTTCTTTAGGATGCTGCTTAATGATAATGATAGATGGTGAGAATGAGTCTCACAGTATATATGCAGTGGTAAATATTTCCCTAATGACCTGTAGGGCATTTATTTCTCATAAAAATTCTTATCTAAACACGATGTCTAGAATTCACATAGGTGTTCTCTATGTAATTAGAATTTTTTATATGTACATTTTTAAAGAATAGAATACTTTTTTTTTTTTTTTTTTTACTTTAAATGACATTTTATGTTTTAGGATGGCCCCAGAAGTAATTTTAGCCATGGATGAAGGACAGTATGATGGCAAAGTAGATGTATGGTCTCTTGGAATAACGTGTATTGAACTAGGTAAGCATTGTTCTTTATTACTGTGTAGTAAGTTATGATCAGTGTTTTACCTCATTCTCTGTACCAAAGCAAAGCTTTTTATTTTTAATGTCTGTTAGTAAAGGGAGCAATAAATCTATTAAAGTTTTCACTTTGGTTATCTGGTAATTTTTATATATATTAGGTGAGGTGTATTTGCTGTGTTAAATTAGGTCTAAAATAATTTTCCACTGTGGTATTAAGTATTTATGTCTAATATTTAATGGCTTTGTTAAACATCTAAAATATGTCTGTAATTATAAGATTTACTATCTGTAGGTAGTCTCTACAACATTGACGAATTACTTACCTCTACCTAGGATGCTTATTACTTTGAATTAGGTATGAGAATTAGATGTCAAGCTTCATGACATACTGTAACAATTTGATTTTATGCACACATTTTATTCTGTTGCCCATAAAGGGAACTACGCTTAAGTCAGTGGACCATCATAACTTTACTAGCATTCTCAGTGTAAGTGAGCCAGGTAGATAATTGAATTGTCACTGTAATTGAAGATGATGTCCATCTTCTTGCTCTTGGTTCTCCCAAGTTTACCCCTTTCCATCCTATATTCTTTCCTTTTTTTCTTCTTATAAAAATATTCCAGGGGCACCTGGCTGGCTTAGTCTGTAGAGCATGCAACTCTTAAGTTTGAGCCCCATGATGGGTGTAGAGATTACTTACGAATAAAATCTTAAAAAAAAAAAGATTCCATTAAATTTTATTTAAAAGTGGGAAATATTGGGAATATTTAATTGAACCATTCTAGGAGTGACCACAAATCAAAAATAACACATTAAAAAGAGAATCCATGTGAGGGGCGCCTGGGTGGCTCAGTTGTTTGAACATCCAATTCTTAATTTCAATTCAGGTCATGATCTTGAGGTTGTGGGATTGAACCCTGCCTTGGGCTCCAAGCTCTGTACAGAGTCTGGTTGTCCTTCTCCCTCTGCACTGCTTCCTGTTTGTGAAGGCACATGCTCTCTCTCTCTCTCAAATAAATAAATAAAATCTTTTTAAAAAGTAAAATTCATGTGTAATTTGGTTAAATGATTTTCAAATTGAGTTCATCAGTTTTGTAAATAGGGAAATTGAGGTAAAATAAAAATCAAAAGCTTATCCTTATATAGTAGATGAAAATTATAATTTCCATTATAAACCATGCTTTTCTATCTTACAGTCTTCATATTTTTCCAAAATTATATAATCTTTAGGTATGTTGCTTTTATTATAATTCCTACATTAACCATTCCCTTCAAGCTCTATATTATTTATTTAATTTATTTTAAAGTATGACAGCATCAGCAGACAGATTTGTAGATACCATCATGTCATTCTCTTCTGATCTCTTAGTCTCTCTTTGAGGTTTGCAGAATTTTTTTTCCATTTTAAAGTGTTTTAACCTCAATTCTTTTAACCTCAGTTGTTCCTGCAGGTAGATCCTCATTAATTTCTTAAGAAACCTGGGTGTAAATGTAGAGAAGCTGGTTAATATACTCTGGCCATGGGGTATTTTTACATACTTGTGCTGGTTGATGCATACATGTACCGCTTGGTGATAGTGAAATCACCTTAATGGTGCTGTTAGATATTATTAATATATATTAATATTTATTTGATTAGAAAAGTATTCATTAACCAGTTGTACTGCTCAGAAAGAAAACTCCAGTTTCTGTGAAAGGGCTTATTTTTCCAGACTTTCTAGCTTCTCTCTCTTTTCTTTTTTAAGATTTACTTATTTATTTAAGAGAGAGAGGAAGAGAGAGCCTGAGAAGGAGGGGCAAAAAGGGAGGCTGAGCATGGAGCCTGACTTGGGAATTGATTTCATGACCCTGAAAGCACAACCTGAGCCAAAACCAAGAGTCAGAGGCTTAACCAAATTGAAACACCCAGGAACCCCTCTAGTTTCTCTTTATTGTAGCTAATAAAGTAGACTTTCTTCACAATGAGAGTATTTACACTTAAAGCAGTATCAGAAAATGAAACTGCCTTTAGATAATTTTAAATGAGTGAGACATTTAAAGAAATTCTTAGAGTTTTAGTCCTACTTCTGGCATCTTCAGCTTTTATAATCTTTCATAATCACTTTTTAAAATTTTACTTACAAATGTTTTTGAATTATGAAGTGCTAAGTTAGGAACTACATTTTAAGCCTGCTTCTGGATTCAGAGGAAAGGCCTACAGTAAGTAGCACAGGCCAATAAAATTTTCTGCAGATTGAAGTGTTCTGTATCCGCATGGCTTTTGAGCACTTGAAATGTGGCTGTTGCAGTTGAGTAAGTGAATATTGAGTTTTATACTGTTTAAAATAAATTTACATTTGAATAGTTACATGTGGCTAGTGACTACCTTGTTAGACATATATAGATCAAAGGGCGTGATTTTCAATGCAAATTAGACTTGCAGTCTTCAGAAATATATCTGTTATATGCTTTTCAACTTCCAAAATAGTTAAGGATAAATAAAATCTTTAAAAATAAATTAACTAAATAGTTAAGGATAATGAGTTAAAGCAAAGTGTGTTCTTATAGTGCAGGTAGGAGAACAGATGTAAGTCAGTTGTACTGACCTTGGTTTTGGTATGTATAGTTATTAAGAAATATTTTCATACTTTGTTATAAAGATTGAAATAACTTGGTCATGTCTTAATGACCAAGAAATCTTAAAGTACAGGATTTTTCATAGATGAGTTTATGTTTGTTTACAATAAATCTTATGAAAAAGTTCCCTAACTTGTTTTTCAGGCTTTGTGCCTGAATGTACAATTGTGTCTATAAAAGTAAAATTTACCACTTTTTCCTGATTATAAAGTGTATGTTGAGGTCATAAAATTTCAGGGGAAGAAAGCAAAAAGAAATAAATCAAAATAACAATAACTAATTTAGTGGATATGCATGATAAAAAGATGTCGGTTGTGGCATTGGAAACATAAAACATGGAGTTTGGAGAGTAAAAATGTAGAACTTTAGAATGTGTTCATACGAAGTTGTTACCAACTTAAAGTAGACTACTCTATTGTTTTTTTTTTTTAAAGATTTTATTTATTTATTTGACAGAGAGAGATCACAAGTAGACGGAGAGGCAGGCAGAGAGAGAGAGGGAAGCAGGCTCCCCGCCGAGCAGAGAGCCCGATGTGGGACTCAGTCCCAGGACCCTGAGATCATGACCTGAGCCAAAGGCAGCGGCTTAACCCACTGAGCCACCCAGGCGCCCTAGACTACTCTAAATAGAAGTTGTTTTATGTAAGCCTCATGGCAACTACAAAGCAAAAACCTATAGTAGATACACAAAAGAAAAGAATTTAAGCATACTAATATAAAAAATTATCAAATCACAAAAGAGATTAAGAGGAAAGTAACAAAGGAATTACAAACAATTAACAAAATATCAATAAGTACATAACTGTCAATAATTAATTGTAGGGGCGCCTGGGTGGCTCAGTGGGTTAAAGCCTCTGCTTTCAGCTCAGGTCATGATCCCAGGGTCCTGGGATCGAGCCCTGCATCGGGCTCTCTGCTCGGTGGTGAGCCTGCTTCCTCCTCTCTTCTCTGCCTGCCTCTCTGCCTACTTGTGATCTCTGTCTGTTAAATAAATAAAGTCCTTAAATAATAATAATAATTGTAAATGGACTAAGTTCTCCAGTCATAGGTTGGCTGGACAGGACCCATCTATGTAATGCCTATGAAAGACTAATTTCAGATGTTAAGGACACACACAGTCTAAAAGTGAAGGGGGATTATAAAGATATTCCATGTAAAGAGAAACTGAAAGAAGGTGCGGTAGCTATATTCACATCAGACAAAATAGACTTTAAAACAAAGACTATATGGACACCTACCTGGCTTAGTTGGTAGAGCATGTGACTCTTAATCTCAAGATTATTAATTCAAGCCCCATGTTGGGCATGGAGCCTACTAAAAACAAACAAAAAAGTAAAGGGGCACCTGGATGGTACAGTTGGTTAAGCCTTTGACTCTTTTATCTCAGGTTGTGATCACAGGATCGTGAGATCAAGCCCCACATCAGGCTCCATGCTCCCCACCAGAGTCTGTTTAAGTTCTCTCTCCCACCCCCTCTCCCTCTGCCCCCCACTTCCCCCACCTTGTGCTCATGCACTCTCTCTCAAATATATAAATAAATCTTTCTTAAAGAAAATTTAAAAAATATATAAAATGACTGTGGTAAGAGACAAAGAAGGGCATTACATAATGGTATAGAGGTCAGTCCAGCAGCAAGATAGGAGATTTGTAAATATTTATGCACCTAAGACAGGAGCACCTAAATATGTAAGGTGGTTTTGACACACCTAAAGGGAGAAGTAGACAGCAATACAATAAGAGTAGAGGACTGTAAAACCCCACTTTTATCAATGGATAGATCATTCAGACAAAAAATCAACATGGAAACATTGGCCTTAGCACGTTGAAACAGATGGACTTAACAGACATAATATATACAGAACCTTTCATCCAAAAGCAACACAATGCATATTCTTCTGAAGTATACATTGAGCATTTTCCAAAATAGATCAGATGTTAGACCACAGAATAAGTCTTAATAAATTTAAGAAGATTGGAATCCTATTAAGCAACTTTTCCAACAAAGTGGTATGAAAGTTAAAACCAATTATAAGGGGGCGCCTGGGTGGCTCAGTGGGTTAAAGCCTCTGGCCTTCGGCTCAGGTTGTGAGTCCAGAGTCCTGGGATCGAGGCCCGCATCCAGCTCTCTGCTCAGCAGGGAGCTTGCTTCCCTTCCTTTCTCTCTGCCTATCTCTCTGCCTACTTGTGATCTCTCTCTGTCAAATAAATAAATAAAATCTTTAAAAAAAAATTATAAGAATAAAACTGGAAAATCCACAAATATATGGGGATTAAACAACATCCTTCTGTAACAACCAGTGGGTCAAAGAAGAAATCAAAAGAGAAATAAAGATACCTGGAATAAATGAAAATGGAAATACAACATACTAAAATGTATGGGAGGCAGCAAAAGTGGTTCTAAGAGGGCAGTTCATTGAAATAAATGCTTACATTGAGAAATATCTCAAATAATATAATTTCATACTTCAAGGAACTAGAAAAAGAACAAACTAAGGCTAAAGTTAATAAAAGGAAGGAAATAACAAATACCAGAGCAGAAATAAATGAGATACTAAAAAGCCAATAGAAAAGATCAACAAAACTAAGAGCTGGTTTTGTTTTTGTTTTTTTTTAAAGATTTTATTTATTTATTTGACAGACAGAGATCACAAGTAGGCAGAGAGGCAGGCAGAGAGAGAGAGGGAAGCAGGCTCCCTGCTGAGCAGAGAGCCCAATGTGGGGCTCTATCCCAGAACTCTGGGATCATGACCTGAGCTGAAGGCAGAGGCTTTAACCCGCTGAGCCATCCAGGCGCCCCTAAGAGCTGGTTTTTTGAAAAGATAAACAAAACAGAAAACCTTATCTAGATTTACCATGACAAGAGGACTCAAATGAATTCAGAAATGAAAGAGATGTTAAAACTGATAACACAGAAATACAAATTATCACGAGAGACTACTATGAATAATTAGATGTCAACAAATCGGACAACCCTAGAAGAAATGGATAAATTCCTAGAAACATACAACCTACCAAGACTGGATCATGAAGAAATAGAAAATCTGAACAGACTGATTACTAGTAAGAAGATCAAATTAGTAATCAAAACATTCCAACAAACAAGTTCAGGACCAGGTCATTTCACTGGTGAATTCTAACACATAAAGAATTAATACTAACCCTTCTCAAACTCTTCCAAAAAAATACAAGAGGTAGGAACACTTCAAAACTCATTTTATAAGGCCAGCATTACCCTGATACCAAAAGATCATTACCCTGATACCAAAAGGTCACTTTTGAAAAAGAGAAGGACACTAAAAAGAAAATTACAGGCCAATATCCTTGAACATCATCGATCCAGAAAACCCTCAACAAAATATTAGCATACCGAATTCAACAATATAGTCAACCGACCCTTGAACAACATTTGAGTTAGGGAGAATTACCCTCTCATGAGCCATGGAGGTGGCTCAGCATAGAGTGTCAGAGCCCAAGTCGGGTGAAGAGGTGACAATAGGGGGAACTTCCTATCATATAGATTCAGAGTCTAAGGAGGACATCTGTGTTTCGGGGTAGCCTGATACAGTGTTCCTAATCAAAAGGAAGAGAGTTTCTCTCATAAAGACTGATTAGAAGAGCCACATTGCAGAGAGGTGACCCAGTTTAGGTTGGTTTTAGAAACTGAATGGATAAAGAAATGTTCACACTATAGAGTAACTTGGAATGGGGTTTGAAAACTTGAGCAAGGAAAAACTGCAACAAACTTGAGCAAGGAAAGGGAGACATCTGCTTAAGAGAGAATGTGGTAGCAAAGATGGGAGACTGGTTACATACCGGGAGATTTTATCAAATAAGAAAATACTAATTAAGCGTGATAAGAGCAAGGTTCCTCATTGTTAGAAGAGTGTGACAAATAATGGAAAAAGATAAAGCTAGAACTCCATTGTTTCATGAACATGTTGAATGTGCATGTATGTATATAAATTTTTGTGTGTGTTTCCTAACTCTGTCCACTGAAAGGATATAAGAACAGTGATTTCTCAGTAGCAGTGAGCACACCTGTTGCCACAGCTCCTTGGAAAAATGGTGGAAACCTTGGTCTGGAGTGTGGAAATACAAGATAAGCCTGGAAAATCTTAGTGTGCCAGAAAGCAAGGAAGTGATTAAGAAGTGATAGGGCCATGTCAAAAAGCCAATAAAGTGTTCTCATTGCTCAAACATGAGGCATTTTGAACATCAAAATAAAGGATAGTAGCAGATTATAAAATAAAATAGAAATCTGCAAGTCTGTGTAATAGAGAGGAAAATTAAAGTTTTATGGAAAAAACAGGATGTTTATATAGATTCAAAGTATCTTCTCAAAAAATACTAATTACAAAAGGAAACAAAGAAACTTACCATGAAGAAGTCTGACAGGCACAGCTTTAACTGCTATAATGCGAACACCATCAATAATGGAAGCATTCAAAATCATGCACCATCACATAGAATACAATGAGAAAAAGAGAACACTTCCGTGATGCTCCTGCCAAAGATACGTAACCCAAATATAATCATAGGATAAACCCAAATTGGAGGGACATTGAAGAGTCTTGTATAATTCAAAATGACTTCAGCAGTTACCTTAAGAGACCAGAAAAAGAGGAGCAAAAGGCATTTGGCTGATTTAGTAGGGCAAATGACTTTAGATCTTGGGGTTGTGATTGGTTCAAGCCTCACATCAGGCATGGAGTTTACTTAAAAAGAAGGAAAGAACGAAAAGAAAAAGAGGAGCAAATTCAACCCAAAATAACTAGAACAAAGAGAATTTTTAAAAATCAAAGCAGGTGGGGTGCCTGGGTGGCTCAGTCACTTTAAGTATCTGCCTTCTGCTCAAGTCATGATCCCATGGTCCTGTGTTTGTTTAAGCCCTGTGTTTGGCTTCCTGCTCAGTGGGAAGCCTGCTTCTCCCTCTGTCCCTCCCCCATTCTCTTGCGTGTGAATTCTCTCTCAAATAAATAAAAACTTGGAAAAAAAAAAAAACAGGAATCAAATAAAAAACAAAAGAACAATAGAGAAAACCAATGAAACCAAAAACCCCCTAGTTTTCTGAGGTGTGCCTGGATGGCTCAGTCGGTTAAGATTGGGAATTTTTATTTCAGCTCAGATTATGAACTCAAAGTCCTGAGATCAAACCCAGCACTGACTCTGTGCTCAGTGGATAGTTGGTTTGAGATTCTCTGCCTCCCAACACCTCTGTTCTGTCCCCTCCCTGGTGCTCAGGAGCTCCCCCCCACCCCCACTAAAATAAAGAAAGAAATCTTTAAAAAAAAAAAGTTCTCTGAGAAAATAAAATTGATAAACCTCTAGCCAGCTTGATCAGGGAAAAAGAAGATACAAATGACCAATATCAGGAAAGGGAAGTGACATAACTACACATTTTACAGGTATTAAAAGGATTATAGGGAAATATTATGAACAATTTTATGTTAATTTATTAATTTTAGATAAGATGCACACTTTCCTTGATGGAAATGATCAAGGCTTGCTGTTGCTACAGAGGACATCATTGGAACATTTGATTGAAATTTGAATGGGGTTGAGGATTAGATGATAGTCATGTATCAGTATTAATGGCCTGATTTAATTGTGGTTCTTTAGAGGAAAGTTCTTATTTATAGGAAATACAAAAGTATTTAGGGATGGTAGGGCATTAGGCCAGCAACTTAGTGTAAATTGACACACTTGAAAAAGTTTTTTGAGCTCCATATGAAATTTTTTTTTTTTGCGAAATTTGAGACATTAAAATTTTTTAAAATTTAATTTAATTTTTGTGAGATAGGGAAGGGAGGGAGAGGGAGGGAGAAAATGAATCTTTTGCAGGTTCCACACCCAGCACAGAGCCCAACTGAGGCTCAGTCTCCCAACCCTGAGATCATAACCTGAGTTGAAATCAAGAGTTAGGCACTTAACTGACCGAGCCACCCAGGTCTAACTGCCCCCCACAAATATTTTAAACAATGTTTGCATGCCTTTATATAACAGGCACATATTTTAACAGGAATGTTTCTTTCTTCTACAGCGGAAAGGAAGCCTCCTTTATTTAATATGAATGCAATGAGTGCCTTATATCACATAGCCCAAAATGAATCCCCTACACTACAGTCTAATGAATGGTGAGTATTGCTGAGACATATATTACTCAACATTGTATAAATTACTTTTTTATAATGTTATCAAAATGATTTTATTTCAATTAGGTAAAGTATATTTCCTGAAGAGATATTAAATTTGTTTTTCTTACCCTTGTATTTATCTTCTGTTTAATATCTGCTTTTCATAACATATGTAATTCAGTTCAGAAATAAAGGAGAGATGATGCCACATGGAAGCAGAAAGTATTGCTTTTTACAAAAATTCATAATTTATTTTTTCTTTGAACTTTAGGAACACATAATCCTGATTATATAATAAATAATAAATATAATATATAATAGCATAATTTAAACATTGATATTTTATTGGGGAATGGTTTATAATTTATCAAGTATAAAACATAGGTAAAATGGGGGCACCTGGGTGGCTCAGTGGGTTAAAGCCTCTGCCTTCGGCTCAGGTCATGATTCCAGGGTTCTGGGATCGAGCCCCGCATCGGGCTCTCTGCTCAGCAGGGAGCCTGCTTCCCCCCTCTTTCTCTCTGCCAGCCTCTCTGCCTACTTGTGATCTCTATCAAATAAATAAATAAAATCTTAAAAAAAAATACGTAAAGTGATTTATCAGAATCATCAGGTAATTCATAACTTTGGGATGTTCTAATTGTTATTATGATGTTTATATTCAGAATACTGGTATTCTGTCTCCTGGTACTTCCTTGATTTGATTAAATTAAATTAATTTATGTAAAGAAGTTTATGGAGAACAGATTGACAGTTTTAGAAAACTAGGGTTTTTATCAGTGATAGAAAATTTTAGTGTATGTACCTAAGTGTATTTAGGTGTGTCAAACATTTGAAAAATTCTAGAGGCATATCAAGCATACTCAGTATTTTTAAATTGACAAATAGATGTATAAGTTAATGAAACTTAATTTCTTTAACGATTGCATACTTAAGGTGCGTTAGTAGGTCTTCGCTATGTGTTTAGAAATACTTGGAATCCTTTGGCACAGTCTAGCATTATGGTACATATCAGTAATAAATATATTGAACACAAACTGTCTTTACACTGTTTGATATTTGGGGATTCAAAAAAGAATTCTTGCGTATAAGGAACTTAAATCTTATGTGAATATGAAAAACAGACATTGATGGAATAATTGTTACTTACTGCCTTCCTCCCTGAACTCTCATCATTAACGCTGTATAAAATAATATGTTGCAGACTTCTGATGTTTTTTAAAAAGTATCGCTAATTGAGGGCGCCTGGGTGGCTCAGTGGGTTAAAGCCTCTGCCTTCGGCTCAGGTCATGATCTCAGGGTCCTGGGATCGAGCCCCGCATCCCGCTCTCTGCTCCGCAGGGAGCCTGCTTCCTCCTCTCTCTCTCTCTGCCTGACTCTGCCTACTTGTGATCTGTCTGTCAAATAAATAAATAAAATCTTAAAAAAAAAAAAAGTATCCTAATTGATTTTCTGGATTTAATGCAAGTCTTATCCATTTTTTGGAAATAAGTAGGTATAAAACTGTTCCCTCCAAAGTAAATAGATTGATGTTCTGAAAATGCTAGATAGAAGATTACCCAAGGGGCAGACAAGAAAGGGAGATGGCTTAGAGAATAGAAAAGAAAATTGAAAAGAATGTTATCTTCAATTTGAATGCAAAGAAGAAAAAATTGTCTTCCCTAATTTTGCCTCAATATAGAACAAGTTATGGTATTTAAATTATGTGAGAATAGGATTTTTTTAAGTTTTTAATTTAAATCCCAGTTAGTTAACATACAGTGTAATATTAGTTTCAGGTTTACCATACAGTGATTCAACACTTCCATACATCACCCTGTGCTCATCATGACAAGTACACTCCTTAGTCTCCATATTTCCCCCATCGCCCCACGCACCTCCCTTCTTTTAACCATCAGTTTATACTCTGTAGTTAAGGGTTTGTTCCTTGGTTTACCTCTCTCTCTCTCTCTTTTTTTTAACCTTTGCTTGTTTGTTTCTTAAATTATGGGAGCAGAGTTTTTAAATCATCTGTGTGAATTCATCTTAGAAATTGATAAAGATTCATTGGTTGGTTTAGATAGCTTTTCATAGACTTATATCTATAGTATATTGTATTTGCTTTTTTTATCATTCCTTTTCAACTTCCCCTCCTACTAATAGGCAGATGTCTAGATTTGTGGATTTTTTAAATTACATTTTTATTTAAATTCCATTTAGTTAATATACAGTGTAATACTAGTTTCAGGTATAGAATTTAGTGATTCAGCACCTATATATAACACCCAGTGCTCAAAAATGAACGCTTCATGAATTTCCATGTCATCCTTGCACAGGATGCTAATCTCTGTATTTCTTGTGGATTTGTTTTAAAAGGAAATAGCAATATGTTCACTTGATACTTTCCTTTACAATAGGTCTGATTATTTTCGCAACTTTGTAGATTCTTGCCTCCAGAAAATCCCTCAAGATCGCCCTACATCAGAGGAACTTTTAAAGGTTAGTTTTCTAAGTCTCTTTTCTACTTATAAGAAATTATTTTAAAGGATGTATTTTATTTGATTTTGGATCAATATTAAGTATGCTCTACTAACTTTTACTGAAACATTAATTTTATATACTGTTCTCTTTTGGAACTTTTCTTAGATGCAGAGTCTTTTGATTTGTGTTTTCAAAATTAATTAAGTGTTTTACCATGTCTGAATAGAATATATAAATATTCCAAATAGTACCAATTGATTGTTTATATGTGTAAGAATATTCCTGAATTATAACTCCACATTTTAATTTATGTGAAACAATGTCATATTTTAAGGTTAATAAAACATAGTTTAGCTTTGGATTTAATTTTTATGTCTGCCATATTTTATATATTCATCTATATTATATTAAAATAATATGAAAGAAAGAAATGTATATTTATATAAATATTGTGGGAGAAAAGAGCTTTCAAAAGAAACTTAAAAATGGTTGTCATATTTCTCTTTCCTTTTTAGAAATATATTTTTCTAACTTGGCAATGAAAATATTTTAAGAACCATGTAAATTCTGTTTACAGAGTTTGGTTTGACTGCTTAATTTAAATACTTTGGTATATGCTTTCTGTTCTCAAAAATTTTTTATTTCATTTGGAGTTTGGCCATCTTATTAATAGCAGTAATAGTATTGTTGAACTTAATGTAGTTCTTAAAACTAGATAAAGCAATAGTAAGTAGGATTTGACTCTCTCTCCTTGTGCCCCTAAGGAAGATTGGTGATTTTTCACTATAAGATTTAAATAGACTATTTTTACGTGAATGTTTTAGAACTTCAGAGAGTTTCAGTTTATTTTCATGAGTACACATCAGTTAAAGATACGAAGAAATTGAAAAGATCGTGTGTGTGTGTGTGTGTGTGTGTGTGTAGTATTATTTGCAACCACAGTATGTAGAAGAACAGTAGAATTTTAGTAATACTTGTGGGATTCTAGGTAGTGAGCTCGTTCATAGTCTCAGAAATGAAAGCCTGAATAAATAGGTACTCACAATAGATAGCAGCTAAATGTTTAGTATAGCTAGGAATTATATTAGTGATAAATAAGCAAGATCTGTATGTAGAAAACTACCAAACTTAGAAATTTAAGATGTATTATTTTGGGGTAAGAAGATTGAGTATCATAAATGGTGATACATACCAAGCTAAGGCTCAGGAAAAAGAAAAAAATCTGACTGGCTTCTTACACTTGCCTATATAAGCAAAAGAAGCTGTTTTGGTAATAACCCAACCCACCAGGGCCAGATATTTGGTGATTAGATCCCAAGTCTGCCTATAGTATTAATTTTCCTGGTTTATAGCAGGAAATTGAAAATGATAAGGAATTATCTATCAAGTACTTTTTTCCCTTTGGCCTAGTTATATTTCTGTTGCAGTTTATCATAAGAAGAGTTGATAGAAAAAAACTTAAATGTATGAAGCTATCTTGGAATTAAAAATTGGGGACGCCTGGGTGGCTCAGTCAATTAAGCATCTGCCCTCAGCTGAGGTCATGATCCCACGGTCCTGGGATTGAGCCCAGCATCAGGCTCCCTGCTCAGTGGGAAGTCTGCTTCTAGCTCTCTCTCTCTCTCTCAAATAAATAAATAAATAAAAGAATTAAAAATCGGAAATAACTGTCCAGAATTAGAGTAATGGTTAAATGATTTTAGCATAAATATTTGATGAAGTAATCCATAGACATTATGTTTATGAATTTGAAATAATACTTATAAGCTTTGCGCAGTGGCAGTATCGTAGCCAATGAGGTTTATCCGAGGCGCGATTATTGCTAATTGAAATAATACTTATGACAATGATAGTAGAATAAAATATCGTATAGTTAAAATTCTGTAGAGAAGCTTTTTCCTCTTGAGGGAATGGCATCCATAGGCATTCAGAATGGTCAGGCCAATACAGTGTCTAACAAAACTAGGTTGTCCTGAACCCCTGGTAATAGAATCATTTACCTTTATACCAAGAAAGTTGGAAAAACACCCAAATGCACATGTGTTGTGCTCCCAGGTGGACTTTGAGCAGTTTGTGCTGTGACACCCTAGTTCTTATAAGGTCATCTAAAACAAAAAAGACATCAGTGGAGCCTGTGAGGGTTCCTTGTGTGCTAAGTGTGTTCATGACAGGATCAAGTGTGCTTTCCTTATTGAGGAGCAGAAAATTGTTGTGAAAGTGTTGAAGGTACAAGTGCAGAGTCAGAAAGCTAAATAAAAGGATGTTGGGTGGCTTGGTCGGTTAAGCATCCGACTCTTGATCTCAGCTCAGGTTTGATCTCTCAGGGTCATGAGTTCAAGCCCCATGAATTCATGCCCAGCATGGAGGCCACTTGACAAAAAAAAGGAGCTAAGTTAAAAAAAGAAAAAAAAAAGTTTTTTGAATAATTAAAATATCAAAAGGCAAAAGAAAAAATTCTTTAAAGAAATTTTAATTACAAAGGTAAAAGTATTATAAGAATTATAAAAATTATAAATTTATATTCTATAAATTATAAATATATCTAAAAAATTATAAAAGTATTATAAGAATTCAAGTACATCTCAGAACTCAAGGCAAAAGGTGTCTTTCTGCAATCTGTATGCTATGTGTCCACAGAACAAAATTTATACATAGAAAATTTCTGTAAAGAAATAAGTCAAGGGGGCGCCTGGGTGGCTCAGTGGGTTAAAGCCTCTGCCTTCGGCTCAGGTCATGATCCCAGGGTCCTGGGATGGAGCCCCGCATCGGGCTTTCTGCTCCGCAGGGAGCCTGCTTCCTCCTCTCTCTCTCTCTGCTTGCCTCTCTGCCTACTTGTGATCTCTGTCAAATAAATAAATAAAATCTTAAAAAAAAAAAAAAAAAAGAAAGAAAGAAGTCAAGGGGCACCTGGATGGCTCAGTGGGTTAAAGCCTCTGCCTTCGGCTCAGGTCATGATCCCAGGGGTCCCACATCGGGTTCTCTGCTCAGCAGGGAGCCTGCTTCCCTCTCTCTCACTGCCTGCCTCTCTGCCTACTTGTGATCTCTTTGTCAAATAAATAAATAAATAAAATCTTTAAAAAAAAAAAAGTAGTAAGTCAAAATATAATGGATTATTCTGATGGTAGAATTGTTCTATTTTTCTGTATTAGATAAGGTTACATTTATTAAATGTTAGTGGTAAAAATCACTAATAATATAATGTCTTTTAAGTAACTGGTAGTTATAGTGTGTTGTTTATCCAACATCTGAAGGAACTTCTTACAATATCCAAGTTTATGTTACATAATTCACCAGAAATACATTCCTGTTGAAACCTAATACAACCCAGAAGTGAACATACCTTTTCTATGAAATCAGTTCTAAGAATATGTAAACCTTTATTTAGCCCTTATTTAGGTCTCTAATTAGACTTAATTATTAGTGTTTAATTAGACTCTGATTATTTCAATATTGCTTTTTCAGCTGGTCAACAAAGGTACCATATTTCCATAAATGTACAGGGGTAGTTATGTATGCCCAAAGTGTATGTCCGGAGATGACAGTTTGGTAAATACAAGAAGTCAAAACTCTAATAGAATTAGATAGCTATAGATTATATGTGTTATCTATCATGATTACTTAAGATAGTAAGTACACTCTGGGAAAGGGGTACATTTGTACTAATTGAAAAAATAAATAGGCTTCCACTTGACTTTTACTTTCTGTTCTTATCCAGCACATGTTTGTTCTTCGTGAGCGTCCTGAAACAGTGTTAATAGATCTCATTCAAAGGACAAAGGATGCAGTAAGAGAGCTGGACAATCTGCAGTATCGAAAGATGAAGAAACTCCTTTTCCAGGAGGCACATAATGGACCAGCAGTAGAAGCACAGGAAGAAGAGGAGGTAATAAGTTAGAAATGATTCAGATATTGAGCTTTGCTTCTTTATTAGCTTCTTTCCTTGTGCAACTTGTCTTGCCATGAATGTTTTGTATTAGTGCTTCCCAGATTATGTTTTCTTAACACTGGTCCTATAAGGTCCCAGGTGGGAAAAGGGTTTTGCATTCTTTAAACCCAACCCCTTTGTAGTGCTCATTGATACAGTAAAGCTATTCAGAGTCTTTTATTAAAGAAACCTATTCAACTTTAATCCAGTCGCCATCAAATTTTTTGGATACTGAACCCTCTTTTGCCTTGTCTGGTTCCATGGGACATTTGAAATTACACACTGTGGAAGTTGACAGTACTCATTCAGAAGTCTTTAGAGTTACCATGTGTTGTGCTCTGTCAGGGATACTTGATTCTTTTTCGTTCTGTATCACTTCATTCCATCTGCACAGTTCTAAAATACTCGTTTTACAGATGAGTAAAGCAAAGCTCAGAGTGGTTAACTCATCATAGGTTAATATAGTTTCACATTCATGAATCTCACTCTCACATGTTCTTTCCATGTTGCCTTTTAGGGAGTATGGAAATACAGATTTGCAGAAGAAATGTTACAGAACTTCCTTACAAGGAAAGATACATATAGAACTTATTATTTGTGGAACTATCTTTTTTTTTTTTTTAAGATTTTATTTATTTATTTGAGAGCGAGACAGTGAGAGAGAGCATGAGTGAGGAGAAGGTCAGAGGGAGAAGCAGACTCCCCATGGAGCTGGGAGCCCGATGTGGGACTCGATCCCGGTACTCCAGGATCATGACCTGAACTGAAGGCAGTCGTCCAACCAACTGAGCCACCCAGGCGTCCCTGGAACTATCTTTTTTACTCTAAATATTTTCAGTTTTCTTTGCTCCTGTCAGGATTTATTTATTTATTTATTTATTTTAATTGCTTTCCAGGGGCGCCTAGGTGGCTCAGTGGGTTAAAGCCTCTGCCTTTGGCTCAGGTCATGATCTCAGGGTCCTGGGATCAAGCCCCGCATTGGGCTATCTGCTCAGCAGGGAGCCTGCTTGTGATCTCTCTTTCTCTGTCAAATAAGTAAATAAAATATTTAAAAATTATAATAATAATAATAATTGCTTTCCAGTGAGCGATCACTTTGCGTTCTGAGACCAGGAGTAATAGTTACTTACTTTTCTTTTTTAAAAGTGCTACACAATTAATGAACTGTGAAATATAAGACTCTTAATTTACAGTTTTGGTTTTGTTTTTTAGTTCATACAGTAGTCATTAGAAAATTATTTTGAGGGTAATAAGGATAGGGCAGTCAGTTAAGCATCAGCTCTTGGTTTTGGCTCAGGTCATGATCTCAGGATCATGAGACTGAGCCCTGTGTATGGCTCAACAGTTTGTGCAGTCTGCTTGGGATTCTCTGTCCCTCTAGCTAACCACACCCCAGCCACACTCACTCTCTCTTTGAAGTAAATAGATCTTTAAAAAAAAAAAAAAAAAAAAAAAGATGGGCGCCTGGGTGGCTCAGTGGGTTAAAGCCTCTGCCTTTGGCTCAGGTCATGATCTCAGGGTCCTGGGATCGAGGCCCGCATCGGGCTCTCTGCTCAGCAGGGAGCCTGCTTCCTCCTCTCTCTGCCTACTTGTGATCTCTCTCTCTCTCTCTGTCAAATAAATAAATAAAATCTTAAAAAAAAAAAAGAAAATTGAGCTTTTTTAGATATATAAAATATTTCAATAAAGTAAAACTAATAAAATTCTAATGCAGTTAAATATATAATAGCATCTCTTTTAGGCTAGGATGTAAGAAAAATTCATATATATATTTATACTTTATATATATGTATATATGCACCATATGTCTTTATGAAATTCTCCATATCTTACAGAATCTTGGTATGGTAAGACTACTAAAATGTTGGTGCCCAGATACCATGGCTTGCCTGGTTACTTCATAAAAGCATTTTTATGAGTGTGATTAAATGTATAGGCAATATGCAATTTTTAATTTACAAAAAATAGATAGGAATCAATTTTAAATTAATTGATGAAAAAGGGTAGGCCAGAGAATATTTTCTCAAGAAGGAAAATATACTTAGTCTTCCTTAAAAAATAACGACTAAGAGGCACCTGGTAGCTCAGTTGGTTAAGCCTCACACTCTTGATTTGGCTCAGGTCATGATCAAGGTTGTGGAATTAAGATGCTGCCTCGAGCTCTCATGTGGAACCTGCTTGAGATTCTCTCTCTCCCTGTTTTTCTGCCGCTTCCACCCTGCTTGCATGTGCATGCCAGCACTCTCTAACAACAATAACAACTAAAAGTGGTTATTTATAGGATTGAAAAAAGATTGGGGTTTGTTTTAACCATGGGAATTACTGAGAAATGACCAGAATATCTCCATATATATACCTCATGAAATATGTGGTAGAAATGGATTTCAGAAAATGACAAAACAATTTAGAGAAAATGCTATACTTTGGAAATAACCCATAACTGATGAACTAAATTTTTGACACAGTTGGGCTTTTGTTATTTACTTGTTAATTATTTTTATTTGTTTGTTTTTCAGTTGGTAGACTTCCTGGTCTTGGCAAATAGAGGAAATTTCTCATGTTAGACCTCTAAATTTCTTTCTAAAGTTGTGTGCTAAGCAGCATGATAGGTGATTATAATTAGCAATTTCAAAAGAGATACAGATATTTGAACCTGCTTCTCTTTTCCCTTAGGAACAAGATCATGGTGTTGGCCGGACAGGAACAGTGAATAGTGTTGGAAGTAATCAGTCTATTCCCAGCATGTCCATCAGCGCCAGTAGCCAAAGTAGTAGTGTTAACAGTCTTCCAGATGCCTCAGATGACAAGAGTGAGCTGGATATGATGGAAGGAGACCACACAGTGATGTCTAATAGTTCTGTCATCCATTTAAAACCTGTGAGTATTTGCATTTCAGTAAAAAAAAATTTCAACTTTGGTAAATAATTTTCTTCAACTGATTAGTTTGGAGATTCTCTTGGATGTTTCAGAAGTTTGGAACATAATTAGGTAACTTATTTTAAAGTGGCATTAGGCTTATTTTCCCAGTATAATGTCTGCATTTGGGAAACTAATGTTTTAAGAATATAAAAAGGATATTTTAAAAATCATAGAAGAAAGAAATATAGCAACACTGTGTTAATATATAATTTGAAGTTAGTTTCATGAAAAATACAGTATTTAAAAATAGTTAAGTATACACATGAAAGTCATGATAATGGTTGTCTTTTAAGAAAAATGGTTATGAGGGTAATTATCAAAAGTGACTTGTACTGTCCATAATGTTTATATCTTTAAAATAAAACAATGTAATTGCCAATAATTGTAAATTTGGGGTTTAAGAAATAAGGGTTTTGCTACAGTGTTCTTCACACTTCTGAGTGCAAAATTTTTAATTTTCTTGAAAATATTTTGAGGGGCACCTGGGTGGCTCGGTGGGTTGAGCCTCTGCCTTTGGCTCAGGTCATGATCTCAGGGTCCTGGGATCGAGCCCCACATCAGGCTCTCTGCTAGGCGGGGAGCCTGCTTCCTCCTCTCTCTCTCTGCCTGCCTCTCTGCCTACTTGTGATCTCTCTCTCTGTGTCAAATAAATAAATAAAATCTTAAAAAAAAAAAATTTTGAAAGTCAGGTAACTTGTTTTTAGCAACCAATAGGAATACTTCTTTTTTAACTTCAAAGCTTGCAGTATTACCTAAAAACCTACTAGGCACAAGAGCTAACAGGTAGATCTAACCCAAGGGTTAATCAGCAGATGAATAGATAAACTATCAGATATGCATATAAGGGAGTATTATTCAGCTATGAAAAAATAAAATTCTGATACATACTGTAACATGAGTGAATCTTGAGATGTTATGCTAAAAATGTAATGTTATACTAAGTGATATTAAGCCATATGCAAAAGGACAAATACTGCATAATTCCACTTACATGAAATATCAGAAAAGGCAATTCGTAGAGACACAGAATAGATTAGTGGTTACCAGGAACTGAGTAGAGGATAAAATGGAGAATTTTTGTCAGCAGATAAGATTTCTATTTGGGTGATGGAAATGTTTTGGAAATGGTGGTGGTTGTACAACATTGGAAATATAATTAATGCCAATGAATTGTACATTTTAAAATGGTTGAAATCGGGGCACCTGGGTGGCTCAGTGGGTTAAAGCCTCTGCTTTCGGCTCGGGTCGTGATCCCGGGGTCCTGGGATCGAGCCCCGCATTGGGCTCTCTGCTCGGCGGGGAGCCTGCTTTCCTTCCTCTCTCTCTGCCTGCCTCTCTGCCTACTTGTAATCTCTGTCTGTCAAATAAATTAAAAAAAAAATTTTTTTTTAAATGGTTGAAATGGAAAATTTCATATTATATATGTTCTACTACACTCACACAAAAAGTCATTAAGAACGACTTAGTTATATAGTAGTATTCTTCAGGGCAAAATCATGTTTAATTTTTATGTACTTAGGCAATAGAAGCAGCAGTAAAAAAGATTATTCTCATAATTGGTTGTTGCTACTTAATTCATTTCCTCTTCAGTTAATAAACTAAGACATATATAAGGAAAGACCAGTTCTTAAAATTTTTAGTTATTTTTTGATTATTTGGACAAATGATAGAAGAATTAAAAAGGTATTTTTAAGATATATTACTGCTTTGAAAACCTAAGAGCATTAGGATAATTTTTTTTTACTGCTGTTTAAAATTACTAAAGCTTTTCCATTTTCTATATAGTAAGTAGGATATAGATCTAACCTGATAAATTTCCTGATCCTAAATCGGTTTGCTGTTTCATATACTGAGAGAATGATGTTTCCTGATTCTAATTATGTTGAAAATAAAATGCTGGCATTCACAATTTTTGTTCTTTTTAAAATTTTGTCTTTAAGATAAATTGATCAAGTTACCTTTAAATTTTCTTGAAAGTTCAAGTTAGCTGTATTTGTTCAATAGTATTATTTCTTTCTTTGCCTAGGAGGAAGAAAATTACAGAGAAGAGGGAGAGCCTAGAACAAGAGCATCAGATCCACAATCTCCGCCACAAGTGTCTCGTCATAAATCACACTATCGTAATCGAGAACACTTTGCTACTATACGGACGGCATCACTGGTATGTTCTTCCCCTGAATTAGAAATACATTTTTCATATTGGACTGTGGCACCTGTACTGAAGTACAACTATATCTTATTTTTTTTGTATTTGGGGTTTATTTTGCAAAATACTCATTCAACATTTAAGTGCCTCTTACGAGAAGAATATACAGAATATGCTGAGATGTTAAACTAGTGATGTCTTCAAAACATACACAAAGAACCATTGTGTTAGAATATATCAAATACTCAGGAGGGCTGGAAGGTACTAAATAGGAGTTCACATTACTTTTGATTTGGGGCATAAGGGAAATATTTAGGAAACAGATTGTTTAGGCCTGTCTTGGATGGCTCAGTCAGTCAAGGATCTCACTCTTGGTTTCAGCTCAGCTCATCATCTCAGGGTGTTGAGGTCAAGCCGCAAGTGGGGTTCTGCATTCAGCGTGAAGTCTGCCTGAGATTCTTTCCCTCTCTCTCTCTCTCCTTCCCTGTCTGCTCACACTCATGCTGTCTCTCTCTCAAATAAATAAAGTCTTCCCAAAAATAACAAAAAAGAAAACAAATTATTGGAGCTTTTAATAGTTGTTGATTTTAGGCACAGAGAGGAGGATAAATGTTATTTCTATATAAGAATTAACAGTAAAGAAATACTGAAGCTAACCAAAGTGAGGGAGTGAGGAGAAATATTTGGGAAATAACAAGTAATTCAATTTGATGTATTCAAAATGTAGTTCTTCTGGTTTCCCAAAAAAATAATAAAAATGGATTATTGGGGGGTGTGTGACTTGCTCACTTGGTAAAACATATGACCCTTAATCTTAGGGGTGTGAGTTTGAGTCCCACATTGGGTGTAGAGATTACTTTAAAAAAATAGATTATGTATCCATTATTAAGGATGTTATTTTAGCAGGCTGCATACTACTCTGATTAGTCAAAAAAAGTAGGACCAACACATGATAAAGGATACTAGGGATAAAAAGAAATTAAGATACCATAGGAAAAGTAGACTGTTAGAAAATATGACAGGAAGTATAAAAGATATATCTGAGAAAAAAAGTTTCTGAATTACCAACTGCATAAGCTGATTTTATAAATCCCATGCAATGGCCCATGACTCTATATGACATGGGGTCAAGAATGCCATCTCCCATCCTGAGGAATCAGGTCATTTCTGCTATTCTGCAACATGTAAATAACTTTTTGAACAGAGCAAGTGGCAAAGATTGCTTGAAGGTTTTTTCACGACTATTTTAATAAATACCTAAAGAGGTATTATCTAGAGAGACGCCAATTCATGTGACTTTGTGACTTGGCATATATTAAATGTTTCTCAAACACTCTGCCCCAGTTTCTGACTCCCTCAAATTATTTAAGGATACACTTTTTTTTTTTTTTTTTTTTTTTTAAGATTTTAATCACAAGTAGGCAGAGAGGCAGGCAGAGGAAGAGAGAGGAGGAAGCAGGCTCCCTGCTGAGTAGAGAGCCTGATGTGGGGCTCGATCCCAGGACCCTGGGAATACAACCTGAGCCGAAGGCAGAGGCTTTAACCCACTGAGCCACCCAGGCGCCCCACACTTTTTTTTTTTTAAGTATAGTTGACATACAATGTTATTTTAGTTTTAGGTATATAACATAGAGATTGGACAATTCTCTGCATTATCAGTGCTCAGCACAATAAGGGTAGTCATCATCTGTCCCCATACAAAGTTGTTAGTATTATTGACTGTATTCCCTGTGCTATACTTTTCATCTCCATAACTTATTTATTTCATAACTGGAAGTTTGTACCTCTTAATCCACATCATTTATTTCATCCATCCCACCATCCACCAGTTTGTTTTGTGTATTTTAAGAGTTTTGATTTTTGTTTGTTTGTTTGTTCATTTGTATTCTGGATTCCACATGTAAGTGAAATCATAGCATACTTGTTTCGCTCTTTCTGACTTATTTCACTTAGCATAATACCCTCCAAGTTTATCCATGTTGTTGCACATGGCAAGATCTCCTTTTTTATGGCAATATTCCCTTGTGTATATATATACCACATGGGCTTTATCCATTCATTTACTGATGGACCCTTGGGTTGCTTCCATACCTTGACTATTATAAATAATACTTCAGTGAACATATGGGTTCGTGAATCTTTTCAAAATAGTGTTTTCTATTTCTTTTTTCTCTTTCTTCCTCCCACCCTCTCCTGTTTCTTTTCTTCCCTTTTTTTTTTTTTAAAGAGATGGAGTGAGGGGAGGGGCAGAAGGAGAGGGAGAGAGAGAATCTTAAGCAGACTTCTCTGCCCAGCACAGAGCCTGATACAGGGCTTGATCTTAAAACCCTGAGATCATGACCTAAGCTGACTTCAAGAGTTGGATGCTTACCCAATGCAGCAACCCAGGTGCCCAAGTGTTTTCTGTTTCTTTGGGTAAATACCCAGTAGTGGAATAATAGATCATTTGTGTTTGTATTTTTAATTTTTTGAAGAACCTCCATACTGTTTCCCACAGTAGTTACACTGGTTTCTATTCTTACCAACAGTATACAGGGTTCCCTTTTCTTTTTTTTTCTTTAATTTTTTTATTTGACAGAGAGGGGGAAGCAGGCTCCCCGCTGAGCAGAGAGCCCGATGTGGGGCTCAATCCTAGGACCCCGAGATCACGACCTGAGCCGAAGGCAGTGGCTTAACCCACTGAGCCACCCAGGCGCCCCCAGGGTTCCCTTTTCTTAAGGACACTTCTTAAATTACGGATTTAGAAAGTTTAAGATCCATATTCTTAAACCTAGTAATTCTATTTCAGATAAAACATTCAGAGTGTGTGTAGGTTTATGTATAAGATAACTATACTGTAACACTCAGTATAACTACCATGTACCGTAACTCATTCTTTCTTCTGCTTTGGGCTGTTTTCATATAATAAATCGATATTAGGTATTCAATTTGAAGAGTTTTTACAATGGCTTTTGCCTTAGTTATCCATCATCTTAAAAAAAAGAGAGATGTAAAATTTCTAGTCATCACAATAGGTTCCTTTCATACCCCGCCCCCACTTAGTCATTTTCCACTGCCATGAATACCATTTTCTGTCTCTTCACTCTTACTAGTTTTAACTGTTTGGGTTTCATTTAAAGGGAATCATAGAATGTACTTTTTTGTATCTGGCTTATTTTGCTCAACTTAATGTTTTTGAAATTTATCAGTCTTGTGTTCATTAAAGTTCATTCATTTTTTTAAAAGATTTTATTTATTTATTAGAGACAGAGAGGAAACAGGAGCTGGGGAGGAGCAGAGGGAGAGGGAGAAGCGGACTCCCCACTGTGCAGAGAGCCTGATGCAGGGCTTGTTCCCAGCCTGAGCTGAAGGCAGCCCCCCCCTTTTTTTAAGATTTTATTTATTTATTTATTTGACAGAGATCACAAGTAGGCAGAGAGGCAGGAAGAGAGAGGGGGGAAGCAGGCTCCCCACCGAGCAGGGAGCCGGATGTAGGACTCGATCCCAGGACCCTGAGATCATGACCCGAGCTGAAAGCAGAGGCTTTAACCCACTGAAGCACCCAGGCACCCCCGAAGGCAGACCCTTAACCAGCTAAGTCACGCAGCACAGCAAAGTTCATTCTTTTTTATTACTATAAGTAGTTTTCCCTTGTGTGAATGTGTAATTTTTTTACCCATTCTTTATCGATTAACATTTGGTTTGATTACTCTTTGGGCATGTAAGATTGCTATAAACATTCTTGTACAAGTCTTCATGTGAACATGGTATTTTAATTTCTTGTTGATAAATGCTGAAGGTAAAATAACTGAGTTGTAGGGTGTGTGTATGTTTAACCTCCTAAGAATCTTAGTTTTCCAAAATGGGTGTACTATTTACATGCCCATTAGCAGTGTATACGTTTGTTTTGTTTTATTTTGTTTTGTTTTAGCAGTATTTAAGTTTTAATTGGTTTACATTCTCTCCTGCATTTGGTGTTGTCAGTCTTTTTTATTTTAGCCACTCTAGTGGTATGAAATGGAATTTCATAGTATTTGTGTATTTCCCTGGGACTAAAGAGGTAATCATTATAAGCCCCTTTCCACATGCTTATTGTCTATTCTTGTGTCGTCTTTTTTTTTTTTTAAGACTTTATTTATTTATTTGACAGACAGAGATCACAAGTAGGCAGAGAGGCAGGCAGAGAGAGAGGAGGAAGCAGGCTCCCCGCCAGGCAGAGAGCCCGATGTGGGGCTCGATCCCAGGACCCTGGGATCATGACCCAAGCTGAAGGCAGAGGCTTTAACCCACTGAGACACCCAGGCGCCCCTATTCTCCACTTTTTAAGTGGAGTATTGTAGTCAAGTCTGTTGTCTTCTTTCTTTCTTTTTTTTTTTTTTAAGATTTTATTTATTAGAGCACAAGCTGTGGGGGGAGGAGCAGAAAGGGGTATCGAGAAGTAGACAGCCTATTGAGCTGAGAGCCCAACACGGGGTCCATCCCAGGACCCTGAGATTGTGGCCTAAGCTGAAGGCAGACACCTAACTAACTGAGCCACCCAGGTGCCCCATCTTTTGCTTTATTTCTTATTCAGATATTCATCTTTTTAATATTGATTTGTAGGTGTTCCTTATAAAAGTTGGTTATAGTATTCTATCTCATATATACCCTTGCAAATATTTTTTCTTCATGTGTAATTTACCTGTTCTTTTTCCTACTTGATGAAAATTTAAAATTTTTTTAGTTTTAAAATCCAATTATAACCATCTAATTTAAAAAATGGATAAAGCAGGGGGTGCATGGGTGGGTGCCGTTGGTTAAGTGACCAACTCTTGGTTTAAGCTAAAGTCATCATCTCAGGACAGTAGGATTGAGCCCTGCCTTTTGCTTCCCACTCAGCGCTGAGTTTGCTTGGGATTTTTCCTCTCCCTCTGCCCCTTCCCCCACATGTTCTCTATCTCTTCCTCCCTCTCTCTCTAAAATAAATAAAGCTTTAAAAAAAAAAATGCATAGGGGCATCTGGGTGGCTCAGATGGTTAAGCATCTGCCTTCAGCTCAGGTCATGATCCCAGGGTCCTGGGATTGAGCCCTGTGTCGGCCTCCTGCTCAGTGCAGAGCCTGGTTCTCCCTCTCTCTCTGCCATTCCCTCCACTGGCGCTGTCTGGCTCTATGCTCTGTCAAATAAATAAATAAAATCATAAAAAACAAATAATGAATAGTAATAAAATACATAAACTTACACGTTCCTGGGTGGCTCAGTCAGTTAAGTGGCAACTCTTGATTTCAGCTCAGGTTGTGATCTCAGGGTTGTGATATGAGATCAAGCCCCATGTTAGGCTCACGCTGGATGTGGGGCCAGCTTAAGATTCTCTCTCTGCCCCTCCTCCCTTTAAAAAATGGATAAAGGTCTTGAATAGACATTTCTCCAGAAAAGATAAACAAATGACCAACAAGCGCAACAACAGATGCTCAATATCATTAGTTATTAGGGAAATGCAGATCAAAACCACAATGAGGGACCACCTCATACCCACTAGGATGGCTTTTAAAAAAAAAGAAAAATAGGGTCACCTGGGTGGCTCAGAGGGTTAAGCCTCTGCCTTCAGTTGAGGTCATGATCTCAGGGTCCTGGGATCAAGACCCACATCAGGTTCTCTGCTCAGCGGGGAGCCTGCTTCTCCCTCTCTCTGCCTGACTCTCTGCCTACTTGTGATCTCTCTATGTCGAATAAATAAATCTTTAAAAAAGAAAGAAAAATAATAATTATTGGAGGACACGAAAAATGAGAGATCCTGTATGTTTCTGGTAATATGTGTGTAATAATATTGTAATTGTGTTTATGTAATATGATTGTAATATGATTCAGCTTCTGTGGGCAACAGTTGACAGTTCCTCAGAAAGTTAAACATAGAGTATCATATGACTCAGCAATTCCATTCCTAAATATATACCCAAAGAATCAAAAAGTAGTACTCAAACAAGTACATGCACACACATGTTCATAACAGCACTATTCACAATAGCCATATCCATCAGCAGATGAATGATAAATTATGGTATATTGATATAATAGAATATTATTCAGCTATAAAAAGGAATGAAATACTGATACTTGCTACAACATGGATGAACCTTGAAAACATGCTAAATGAAGGAAGCCAGGCATAAAAGATCACATATTATATGGCTATATGAAATATCCAAAAAAGATGTGAATCCATAGAAATGGACAATAAATTGGTGGCTACCAGGAGAGAATGGGGAATAGGATTTTTTTCTGAGATGATAAAAATGTTTTGTAATTAGATTAAGGTGGTAGTTGTACAACATTGTGAATATACTAATTGTTACTGAGTTGTTCACTTTGAAATGATTAATTTGGGATGCCTGGGTGGCTCACTTGGTTAAGGATCTAGCTTGTGATTTCAGCTGAGGTCATGATCCAGCCCCACATCAGGCTCCACACTTAGCAGGGAGTCTGCTTGAGGATTCTCTCCCTCTCTCTTTGCCCCTCCCCGTACTCCCTCACACACTTGTGTCCCGTACTCCCTCACACACTTGTGTCCCATACTCCCTCACACACTTGTGTGCTCTCTCTCTAAAATAAATGTTTTTAAAAAAATGATTAATTTTAGGGATGCCTGGCTGGCTAGGTTGGAAGAGCATGCGACTTGATCTTGGGGTTGTGAGTGAATTTCAGCTCAGTTTAAAAATCAGTTTATACATTTTTGTCTTCCAAATTTTTATTTAAATTCTAGTTAGTTAACATATAGTGTAGTATTTCAGGAGTAGAATTTAGTGATTCGTCACTTACATGTAACATTCAGTGGTCATCATAACAAGCGTTCTCCTTAATGCCCATCACCCACTTAGCCCATCCCCTGCCCGTGTCCTTCCATCAACCCTTAGTTTGTTTACTGTTTTAAGAGTCTCTTATGGTTTGCCTCCCTCTCTCTCTTTTTTTCCCCTTCCCATATATTCGTCTGTTTTTTTCCCAGATTCCACATATGAGTGAAATCATATGGTATTTGTCTTTCTCTGACTTATTTTCCTTAGCGTAATACACTCTGGCTCCATCCACGTTGTTGCAGATGGCAAGATTTCATTCTCTTTGACGGCTGAGTAATATTTGTGTGTGTGTGTGAGAGAGAGAGAGAGAGAGAGAGAGACCGACCTTCTTTACCAATTCATCAGTTGATGGACATTTGGACTCTTGCCATAGTTTGGCTATTACATTTTTTTCTTTATAGCCAGTGCCTTTTGTGTCCTATCCAGGAAATATTTGCTTACACAGTAGTCCATGTCTTCTTTTGCTTTATGATTCTAAGTTTTATGTTGAGGTCAAATCATTCTTTTCAAATTAATTTTTGAATATAGCGTGATATAGGAATTGGGTTTGTTTATTTATTTTTACAGGGAACCAGTTGTTTCAGCAGGATTTATTAAAAAACACTTTCCCTTTTTGAATTAACCTGAATTTTTCGTAGAAAATCCACTTGACTGAGTATGTGTGTGTCTGTTTCTAGATTTTATTCTGTTCCTTTGATCAATTCAGTCTGTCCTTATACCAGTACCACATTGTTTTGATTGCTGAAGTGTATGTCTTTCAACTTTTTCTTCCCCCTCAAGAATGTTTTGGATATTCTTGGCCTTTTATATTCCCATATAAATTTTAGAATCAGCTTGTTTATTTCTTTAAAAGACCTGCTTGATATTTAATTGAAAACTGCTAACTGGGATCTCTTAAATTAATTGCCTGCTTAGTTAATGGCAGAGTGATCTAAAATGCTTTTGAAAAAAATGTTTTACTTTGTTTTGTTCTTTTTGGTCCATTGTTTGTATGTCTAGGTTACAAGGCAAATGCAAGAACACGAGCAGGACTCTGAGCTTAGAGAACAGATGTCTGGCTATAAGAGAATGAGGCGGCAACATCAAAAGCAATTGATGACTCTGGAAAATAAACTAAAGGCTGAGATGGATGAACATCGCCTCAGATTAGACAAAGATCTTGAAACTCAGCGTAACAATTTTGCTGCAGAAATGGAGAAACTTATAAAGAAACATCAGGCTGCTATGGAAAAAGAGGTAGCTGATTCAGTATTATTAATTTGTTCTAGCTTGTAACCATCCCAGAATTAACCAATATAACATTTTGATGTTAGAGTATCTGTTCACCAGAGCCAAGCAGATCAGTTGGAGAGAGAGACGCGTAACATGTATAATGTCAGGTACTGAGTCTGAGAACCAATAGACATGGGATTATTTCCTGATACTTGCTAGATTTATAGTGTCACAGTGGGTAAGTCTTTCATTCATCTGTTCTGGGCCTTAAGGATGCTGGTTATCTGAAGAGTTTGATAAATCACCTATTAGTAACATGGTTCAGGTCTCAAAATCCTTCGTGATTCCCTTTTCTATGTATTTTTTGGAAACTGTCCTTAAATTTATAGCAGCATTTTTATGTCAAAGAATAACTGAAGATTAATATAGAGAGAACGTTAAAGATTGCAAATTAAACATTGGGGAGGGTATGTGCTATGGTGAGTGCTGTGAAGTGTGTAAACCTGGCTATTCACAGACCTGTACCCCTGGGGCTAATAATACATTATACGTTTAAAAAAAAATAAAAAATTATTTTAAAAAGATTATAAATTAAGAGATTCAGATTAGGGTTTATCCCATTAGTTTATTTATAAATAAGGTCATTTTAGTATATGATAAAAGTAAATTTTTTAGGATTCTTGTTATGTGAAACCTTTTCTTATAAAAGTTTTTGATGTCCCATTAGTTTCATTTTATTTTGATAGTCCCATTTGTCAAGTAAAATGTAAGCTTCTCAGTAAATTCACAGAATATCTTCAGATATGTCTAGCTAGTCCACATTAAGGCATTATTTATCATAGCTACCCTGTTCAACCTTCCTCCCCCTGAAAAAAAAAGAACCACTCTCATACAATAGTAGAGAATTTAGCAAAATAATTTATGGTGTAAATAAACATTTGATTTTGAAATAATTAGGTGAAAGAATTATCCTGTTGGTCATTGGGTAGTATTTTTAGTAACTTAAGAGGTAGATACTAATATGTTTAGGAAAGCAATTCATGAAATGGGATGTAGAATATGATTACAAATTTGTTAAAGAAATAGATACGCATAGAAAAAATTAGGAAGGGTATACACCAAAATGTTTATATTGGTTATCTGTGCGTGCTAAAATCATGTAATATTTTTCCTTCTTTGTATTTTACTATACTTCCTAAATGTTCTACAATGATTATACATTGCATATATCATCAGAAATAAAGGGTGCCTGGCTGGCAAGAGTTGGTGGAATATGCAATTCTTGATCTCGGGGTTATAAGTTTGATCCCCATATTGGATATAGATACTACTAAAAAATAAAATCTTTTAAAAAAAAGGAAAACAGTAATGATACATATGTCTAATATTTAATATTTTCATATTTAATATATAAATTAAAGGTCAAGTTTTAAAAATAAACATTATTTCATATTCGAGTCAACCAAGATAAATCATGGTTGAATTATATTTGTAGATAAATATGTGTTTGTTTTTTTTTATTGGGAGGAGAACATACTCCTGATAAATGGAGAAAAAAAAAGGTGAAAACCTTCTGACCCTGTACAAGGTCAACATTTTAAAGACGAGTTCCATTTTATTGGTTCTCTGAAATTCTAATGAAGATGCTGAGTACATCAGAAACCAATATTGTACCATATTTTAACTGCCAAAAATTTAAATAAAAATAGGGTGCTGAGTAATAAGTATTAATAATTTGTTGGTGATTTTTTTGATCATGGGAAAAATGGTATCTGTGGTAATGTGTATTCAAATGCTCCTTTGAATCTACCAACTTAACTAATTTGGTCCATTTTTTAAATTTTCTATAGGCTAAAGTGATGGCCAATGAGGAGAAAAAATTTCAGCAGCATATTCAGGCCCAACAGAAGAAAGAACTGAATAGTTTTTTGGAGTCCCAGAAAAGAGAATATAAACTTCGAAAAGAACAGCTTAAGGAGGTACTTATTTTATAAACATTTTCAAGGCAGTTATCTGCTTATTGTACGTAATGTTGCTCAACTCATAGAACCTTGAAGATAAATTTTCTTTTGTTGTTTGTTACCATGAAACGTGTATCGGTTTGAATGAAGACATTGATGACTGAGATCCTCAATTGAGGAGCTGTAAAAAGAATCATCTCCTGAAAACATAAGTCATTTTATTCATAATAACTTTACTAAGCACTTATTTTTTTTTAAGATTTTATTTATTTGGCAGATCACAATTAGGCAGAGAGAGGTGGGGGGGAAGCAGGTTCCCTGCTGAGCAGAGAGCCCGATGCGGGGCTGGATCCCAGGACCCCGGGATCATGACCTGAGCCAAAGGCAGAGGCTTTAACTCACTGAGTCACCCAGGTGCCCCTACTAAGCACTTATTAAGTAAATGTCTAATTAGAAATAAAAGTATGTGAGCTGTAAAGAAAGAAAAAAGCCACACATTCCTTTCACTAAAAGTAAACCATTCCAGGGGCACCTGGGTGGCTCAGTGGGTTAAAGCCTCTGCCTTCGGCTCAGGTCATGATCCCGGGGTCCTGGGATTGAGCCCTGCATCGGGCTCTCTGCTCGGCAGGGAGCCTGCTTCCCTCTCTCTCTGCCTGCCTCTCTGCCTACTTGTGATCTCTGTCTGTCAAATAAATAAATAAAATCTTTAAAAAAAAAAAAAAGCCATTCCAGGGCACCTGGGTGACTCGGTTGGGTGTATGACTCTTGCTTTCAGCTGGGGTTGTGATCTGGAGTCTTGAGATGGAGCCCTACCTCAGCCTCCATGCACACCAGGGAGTCTGCTTGAGATTCTCTCCCTCTTCTCCTACCCCCACTTGGGTGTATTCTCTCCCTCTATCTAACAAATAAATCTTTAAATAATCCTTTAGGTGTACAACGTTTGTGTGCTTGCATATGTATGTTCATTCAGAATAATGGTTCTCAGTATAGGGGAAGGGACATACTAGACTTTTGGTGGGGTAATTTCCTGGCAGAAGATTTTGAGAAAGATACCAGGTGATTCTCGAGAAACTATACAGAGGGGGCATCTGGGTGGCTCAGTGGGTTAAGCCTCTGCCTTCGGCTCAGGTCATGATCTCAGGGTCCTGGGATCAAGCCCTGCATTGGGCTTTCTGCTCAGTGGGGAACCTGCTTCCCCCACTCTCTGCTGCCTACTTGTAATCTCTCTCTCTCTCTCAAATAAATAAATAAATAAATCTTAAAAAACAAAAACAAACAAAAAAACAGAGGATCATAGGGGAAGGGAGGGAAAAATAAAAATGACCAAAATCAGAGAGGGAGACAAACCATAAGAGACTCTTAATCATAGGAAACAAATCGAGGATTGCTAGAGGGGAAGTGGGGGAGGGTGTAGTAATTGGGTGATAGGCATTAAGGAGGGCATGTGATATAATGAGCACTGAGTGTTATATGCAGCTGATGAATTACTGAACTCTACATCCTGTTACACTATATGTTAACTAATTGAATTTAAATAAAGTAACTAAAAAAATATACCAGGGGATTCTCTGTGTATATGCCTGTGTTATCCTTGTCACTTCCTGTAGTGTATGCATATATACCCTCATTTGGGAACTACTAATTTATGTGGTTTTTATTTTTATGTGTTTGAGTATCTTATGAGCTTAAGTTACAAAGACTTGGTCTCTTTCTTGAATAACAGAGGAAAGACCATAAGGTTAGTAGTCTCTGAAAAATCAACTTAGACTTAGAAAAGATGGCTGATTTGTATGGTCTGCAATATTGATGGCTTTTTAGGTTGAAGATATACTAGTATTAATATCCTAAGATTTGTCTCATTGGGTATATGATGAATGTTCTCATCTTACCCAATATAAATGCATTTTCATGTAGGTAGTTTTTGAGATGATATTTAAAGTACTGTAGAAAAGCACTGGATTTTATTTGTTTGGTGTTTATTAATGCTAAATATATTTTTTAAAGATTTTATTTATTTATTTGATAGAGATCACAAGTAGGCAGAGAGGCAGGCAGAGAGAGAAGGGGAAGGCGGCTCCCTGCTGAGCAGAGAGCCGATGCTGGGCTAGATCCCAGGACGCTGAGACCATGGCCCAAGCCAAAGGCAGAGGCCCAACCCACTGAGCCACGCAGGCACCCTATTAATGCTAAATATTAAATACCACTCATAAAAAAGGTCTCTATTCTCCCATGGTTTTGTTGATTTTCCATTTAGTTTCCAAGTTTTTTATATTATGTATATCCATAATCTTGCCAGAAGCTTGATGTTTAGAATGTTAATAACCAAGTGAAACATAACTGTATTTTTGCCCTAATTTTAATTTACATATGATTTTTACCTGAAAGCACTACCTTCTCTCTCTTCTTGGGAAGGATTTAAAGAAAGATATGTTTTACTTCATTTACCAGTCATTGTGTGCTTTTGAATCATCCTAAGTGTAGCTGTGCTAAGCCAAAAGATATACGTGTTTTCTAATGTACTTTTCCTCTTTACCACTGGTCACTCAAGAAAAAGGAAAACTGTTTCCTGCCTCCTTGAGGTTATTGCCCTGCCTGAGCACTAGAACAGACATAAGTTACATACTTTTACTTAAATTTATTAGATACCAAATTTTACATTAACTGTATTCATGTAGTTAATTTTTATGTATTTTGAACTGAGTTTTTTATGTTGCCAGGAACTGAATGAAAACCAGAGCACCCCCAAAAAAGAAAAACAAGAGTGGCTTTCAAAGCAGAAGGAGAATATACAACATTTCCAAGCAGAAGAAGAGGCTAATCTTCTACGACGACAGAGGCAATACCTAGAGCTGGAATGCCGTCGCTTTAAGAGAAGAATGTTACTTGGACGCCATAACTTAGAGCAGGACCTTGTGAGGGAGGTATGTTTAAATGACAGGGTATCAGAAATATATCTGTCGCATCCCAGCTGCAAGACCTTTGTACTCATAATTCCCTGGCCTAAATCCTTCTTTCCCAGATATTCAATCCATATCGCTTGCTTTCTCCCTTTAAATATTCTTCTTTGCACTTCTTTTTCTTATGCATATACACTTTTGGGGGGGAATCTCTCTCCTCAGCTAGAATGGAAATTATATGAAGCCACAGGTTCTGTTCAGGTCTTTATATCCCTATTATTTGGCCCATAGTAAGCATACAGTGTTAACTATTTAATAAATATTAAATCCATGAATAATGAAGAAAGTATTAACTTTTAAATGAGAAAATTAATTGAATAATTTATGCTTTTTGATCTGAAGTGAGTGCCATGAATTGTGTGTTACCATTTAATACATTGTTATAACTATGTAATTATTAACTGGGAAAATGCAGAAACTCTTACCACAATGAGAATAATTTTTATTATCAGGAACACCTATGAGCATAAATAAATTTATTTCCAAGGTGGCATAAAATAAGCTTCAAGTACAGTGTAACTGTTCAAATTAAGTGATAGTTAAAGAATTTCAAAATAAAACAGTTGAGGGACACCTGGGTAGCACAGTTGGTTAAGCCCCCAACTATGTTTTGGCTCAGGTCATGATCTCAGGGTCATGGGGTTGAGGCCACATGTCAGACTCTGCATGGGGCTCCCTGCTTGGCTGGGCTCAGAGTCTGCTTGAGTTGCCTCCCCTCCCCTGCCTGCTCCCACTTGTGCTCTTGCACGTGCATGCTCACTCACGCACTCTCTCTCTCTCTCTCTCTAAAGTAAATAAATCTTTTTTAAAAGAAGTTTTATCAGTTAGATGAGAATAATTCAAAAGGCTATTAACATGGGGAGATGGGCAGTAGTAGTAAGTATAAACTGATACTGCCCTTTTGGAGCATAATTCAGCAATAGCTTTTTTTTTTAAGATTTTATTTATTTGAGAGAGAGTGAGAGACAGATGCAGACTCCCCACTGAGCAGAGAGCCCAATGTGGGGCTTGATTCTAAGACCCTGAGATCGTGACCTTAGCTGAAGGCAGATGCTTAACTGATTGAGCCACCCACGTGCCCCACAGCAGTAGCTTTTTTATTTATTTTTTTAGAGAGAGAGAGAGGGAGAGCATGAGGAGTGGAGGGGCAGAGGGAGAGGTAGAGAAAATCTCAAGCAGGCCCACACCCAGCGTGGAGCCCAACCCAGGGCTCAATCTCACTACCCCGAGATCATTACCTGAGCTGAAATCAAAAGTTGGACGCTTAACTGAACCACCCAGGTGCCCCAGCAATAGCTTTTTAAAATTTAATATACACATATGTTCTTACCCACCAAATCCACTTTTGGAGCTATTATCTTAAGGAAATAATAACATGATTATATGGTGCATCATGCATGGATATTTACTGCAAATATGTTTAAAGCAAGAGAATGGAAAAATTATGGAATTGTAAAGCAGAAGCTTATATTGAAACTTAAAAGATCTTTATTTACTGATCTGGTTGGGATATATGTCCATTATGTTTTTAGTTGAAGAAAGCATATCACATGCCTATAATGTATTTTGGTATTTAGTTTTAAAACTGTATGTTTTGTATAATAGATGTGTCACAGTAAGCATGAGGGCAATTTTAGGAAGCATTTGTACCAGACTCTTGGCCTCTGGAGCTCTGGAGAAAGAGTTTGCAGAGGCAAAGAGGGCAAGTTCGATTTCTATAGTGTGTGCATGCGTGCGTGTGTGTGTGTGTGTGTGTTACACTTGTTCTTTTTAAAACATTTTTTTAAAAAGATTTTAAACTTATTAGAGCACAAGCAGGGGGAGCAAGAGAGGGAGAAGCAGGCTTCCTGCTGAGCAGGGAGCCTGACATCAGGCTGTATCCCAGGACCTGAGATCATGGCCTGAGCCAAAGGCAGATGCTCAACCAACTGAGCCACCCAGATGCCCCACACTTGTTCTTTTTAATCTGCAATAAAAATTTATCGAGCATGATGTGCTAAGTATTATTCTAAGACCTTCCCATTTATGAACTTATTTCATCCTCACATTAGATCTATGAAATAGCTATATTATCTCCATTTGAGAAGTGATGAAGCTGAAGGGGAAAGTTTAAATAACTAACCCAAGGATTTGCAGGTCATAAATAGCAGAGCTAAGATTTAGGATACAGGCAACCTTGGGGCACTTAGGTGGTACAGTTAAGTGTTCGACTCTTGGTTTGGCTCAGGTCCTGATTGCCATGTTGTGAGATGAAGCCCCAAGTAGGGCTCCATGTTTAGCTCTGCTTGGGACTCTCTCTCCTTCTCCCTCTGCCCCTCTCTACCACAGGTGTGTTCTCTTTCTCTCTCAAATAAATAAATCTTAAAAAAAAAAAAAAAAAAAGGAAATAGAATACAGGCAGCCCAGCTCTACAGTCCATATTCTTTTTTTAACAGTTTCATTCTTTTTATTCATATATATTCATATATACATTTTATTCATTTTAGATTTCTCCAAATAGTTATCCTTTTTTAAAAAATTATTTTTATTAACATATAATGTATTATTTGCCCCAGGGGTACAGGTCTGTGAATCATCAGGCTTACAGTCCATGTCCTTAACCACTACACTATGCTCTTCCTAATAGAATTGAATAGTATACTCTGAAAAAAATTCAAGGAATGGCTTATGAACCCTCTTCAAATATAAAACTAGGAAACAATAAAGACAGGAAAGAGGGAAGCACAGTAAACCTGTTAAGATAGATTCAATAGCTTTTTAACTTGACTGCATAAAGTAGTGTTAGTAAATAGTAAATGAACAGCATAAGAAAATTTGTGCTACTAATTGTCCATTTACTGTAGTAAATATTATAAAACCCTCATACTTACCATGTAACCATTATTGAATCAGAGGATTACATCTATTTCCTAGTTGTTCTGTTTCTCAGGACTTTTTTTTTTCTGGCATCATACAGCAGTATTATACCTTTGTCTTTTGTGTTATGGATTAGGAGTTAAACAAAAGGCAGACTCAAAAGGACTTAGAGCATGCCATGCTACTGCGACAGCATGAATCCATGCAGGAACTGGAGTTCCGTCACCTCAATACCATTCAGAAGATGCGCTGTGAGTTGATCAGATTGCAACATCAAACTGAGCTGACAAACCAGCTGGAATATAACAAGCGAAGAGAAAGGGAACTAAGGCGAAAGCATGTCATGGAGGTTCGACAACAGCCTAAGAGTCTAAAGGTACCTTTAACTAAGTATCTTGATAAAAGGGGAAAGAGTTAAATGGCATCCATGTAAGAGGTCTGGCATAAACAAATCAATAAACTTTATTCTTTTCATTTGAAGAATGGTTAGTTTTAATATAGCTGTAGACTTTTTGCTTATGTATTTCTCAACATTATACCAAAACTTTTAACTGTAGGACATGCCATAAAAAATCAAAATTCTGATTTTTAATGTACTCAAATGTCCAATGCTGTTACTACAGTCGACATGTCAATATGCTAACCTGTTTTCTTCTCTCTGTTCCAAGTAATATAATTTTGGAATCTTATTTACTGTAAGACACTAAGTTCTTAACCAGCACAGAAGCCAATAAATAGAAAATGTCTTTTTACTCCCTTTCCCTTCATTGTACTTATCTTAAGAGGAACAGAGGAATCATCACAGTGTGAGTCTGCTTGCTTGCTTTCTTTGGTAATGTAGGTAAGACCATGGCATAGGTAGTTGGGATATATATATGTATTTTTTTTGTTTGTTTTGTTTTGTTTTAATTAGCACATCAGAGTAGAGCAAGTTGTCATATAGTCCTCCCCCCCAAAAATAAGTAAAGACAAGTGTTGGTGATATATAATACCAAAGGACTTTAAATTTTGTATTTACTTTGAATACAGTAATTCATTCACATAGTATGAACTATGAGGATGCCAAAGTGTATTATAGAGATTTCCCTCACTCTCCAGCTGGTCTAACCCATAGTCAACGAGAGTTAGCAATTCCAAGGTGTTTTCAAATTTTATAACTTGTAATAAATATTTGAAGGAGTATAATCACATTAATCTTAATGAGCAAAAACAAAACCATCCACTGCATCAGCTGTCGTCTAAAGTAGTACATCAATTAATTTGGATATGTCTGCAAATTTTAAACTTCAATTTATATCCAGTAAGGCCCATATCCCATGGTATTTCCTTTTTAAACTTCACCCTACCCCCTTTTGTTTGAGAATTTAACTATAAAATTGTTTCTTGTCTTTAACTGTCCTGGAGTGAAGTGAGATTTATTCACAGAGGTAGTCTGTGTTAAAATCTGGAAACTATACTATATCCAGTTGTAACTCTGAATTCCAACACAACTCACTTCTAATAGACTGTCTTGAATGAAATATATTCAAAATGAAGATGGTTTACCCTTTCCTTGTGAACTGGGATTAAATTTCACTTTTTTGTGTCTTCAAATTAACTAATAAAAATCATTTACAGAGTAGTTTGTGTTGACTCCCCATGTAACCTTTATTAATCATACTTAAAAAATTGGAATTCATAATGATTTTTCAGATTTATCTTTGTGATGAAGGGGGTATATATATATACTGTTTTGACTACAGAAAAGACAATTTCCCCTAAAAGATTTTTAAAACAGTATGTCTGTAAAATTTATTATTGCTTTAAAGTCAGCAGCACCCAGAAGCAAACGAAACTGAAAGCTTGTTAGTTTTCTCTAGTCATACCATAAAACTGATAGGATTGCATTTCTCTAAGATTTGGAATAGGTAGATTGTTTGATGTTTAAGCCTTCCTTTCTGTTTCCTCTTATTGGAACCTTTTTAGTTTGAAAGCTTGTAAACACTAGATTAGATTTTTACACATACTATATCAAAGGTGAGGAGAAAAATAATATTTCACAATCATAGTCAGACTTTGAATGACTTAGAATGCCTCCTTTGATGACCAGTGAGCTCAAGATTTTCTGTAAAGGAAATTGTTCTGTTACTTTAGTAGAGAAGAAAATCATACTGTTCCTCTTAGTTATGTATATCTGTCTACTTGCTCCATTTGAACAGAACAGACTATATTTTAACACCACGTGTCGCATTTTTATATGCCTAAGTCATAATAGTTGTCTTTTCCAGCTTCCTTCAAGACTTCAATGGGGAGTTAGGGGGACTTTAGTTTGAGCACTTGGGTTTCTGTAGAATGGATTGAGTAAACATGTATTGCCTACTCTGCTGTTTCTTCATCTGCCATCCAGATAATCGTGTTTAGTGAGTTTAAATGATAGAAACAACTATAACTTTGTTCTTGTTTTCACTTGGGTTAACTATTGAAAGATATAGTTTATTCTTGATAATAGGTGTTACTCTTTTTGTTGGAAAAAAAATTGCAAGTTCTTTTTTCTTATTAGGCTAATGATACGGAATGATTATACAGTTTTCTTGGTAAAACTTCTAAACGGTTGAATGTTATACAGAGGCAGGAAAGAATGTCTAAATCTCCTTGTTTCATTCCTAGCCAACTTGGAAGAATTTTGTTAACCAAGGACAGTATTTAAGTGTGGTACTACTGAGCATAATTAACCCAAGAGTTTCTCTTTCTAGTTAGACCCTTCACAGGGTTCTAGTGTGACCCTTCACAGAATAAAGTATTAATGACTATGACCTAGTGCCTCAGTTGGTGTAAAATATGGAAAAGGTCTATTTGGTGTTGAATGGTGAATAACTAGTTCCCCAACAAGTGTTTTACTTCGGTAAGATGTGCATTTGTTGCATGCTGAATCGTCCAATCAATGTCTGGCAGTATTTATATTAAGGTAAAATAATTCCAAGTATATGTTCTGCCTTAGTATAGTAAATGAATATATTCTCACAGACTCAATATACTTTATAGAATTATATCTCATCTTATTAAATTTTATGAAAACATGAGTTCATAGAATAACCTGTGATTAACAAAAACCAAAGCCAAAACTCTTCTGTCTCTGAGCTCAATTATTTTATCTCAGAAATATTTATGTAGCTCATGTCTCTTATCACTCCCAAGAAAGTTTTCCTCTCCCTTGCCCCATAACTTTTGTTTGACCTTTAAAAGATGAGTTAACCTGACTGATTTTCACGTTTTTGCTTATGGTATGAAAGAATAAATCATTACTAAGTATGTTTCTATCTAGTTTATTCCCTTAAGGAAAAGATAATTAACGAGTAAATAATATTATTTATTAATACCCTGCTTTTGTATGTAGTATGTAGTTAGTATAGACTTTCAGTATGTAGTTAGAGTTGAGATTGTTATTAGAAGAAATTAAAACAAAGTGTCTCAGATAAGGAACAGAGTAAATATGCTTATTTTCTCCCTCAGAGATCTGATAAAATATTGTCTGTCCTGTAAAATACTTTCATACGTACTTAATACATGAGAAGAAATTTAATTTTCTGTCATCAGTATACATGGTAATTCAAGCTAATTTTAATATTTACTCAAGTCACCAAATTTCTTAACAAAATAAGTATTGTTTGAAGTCCTGTGATAAATGAGGTTATGGATATTTTAATGTTTTAAATTAGAGCTTTTGTTATAAAAATGCATAGAATCCAGTGGTTTGACCCAATAGCCAAGTGCAAAAGTACCTGCAGCCTTATGATCTGACCTTTTTTCTTCTCCTTTTTTCCTTGTAGACTTTATTTTAATGTAAGCCTAAGGTATACCAAATGTCATATGTTAAAAATTATATGTATCTATTTTTTTCTTCCCAGTCTAAAGAGCTCCAAATAAAAAAGCAGTTTCAGGACACCTGCAAAATCCAAACCAGACAGTATAAAGCATTAAGAAATCACCTATTGGAGACAACACCAAAGAGTGAGCACAAGGCTGTTCTGAAACGGCTCAAAGAGGAGCAGACCCGGAAGTTAGCCATCTTGGCTGAGCAGTATGACCACAGCATTAATGAAATGCTCTCCACACAAGCTGTGAGTTTGTTTTATTTAGGCAAAATAAATTTAGTTAGTGATCCTTTTCTTCTACCCAGCAATTAAAATACTAGTTAGAAATGATAGTTCTTCTGCAGCTTGGGATATCATAGTGTTGGTCCATATTCTTCCTTCTCTGAACATTGCTTGGAAGCATGCATGATGTATATAGAATTCTCACTGATACTTTCAGACCTGAAGTGTTTTTTTTTTAAGATTTTATTTATTTATTTGACAGAGATCACAAGGCAGAGAGGCAGGCAGAGAGAGAGAGGAGGAAGCAGGCTCCTCGCTGTGCAGAGAGCCCAATGCGGGGCTTGATCCCCGGACCCTGGGATCATGACCTGAGCTGAAGGCAGAGGCTTTAACCCACTGAGCCACCCAGGTGCCCCAGAAATGTAGATTTGATTCTGAAGTCTTTAGGGAACCACTGACATGCAAGAGAAATATCATATTTCCATTTGTGATATAGAAAATATTTCATATTTGTACTCAAATGTGACCATTTGGAGTCCAAATACAGTACTACTTTTTGCTCACTACCTAACAAAACTGCTGCTCCAATCTTATATATGCTATTGGGATATATGCTAAACACCTGAGAGGCACTGGCGGAGAGCCTATTTAAAACTTCAGGTTCTTTTTTTATTTAATTAAAGATTTATTTATTTGAGAGAGTATGGGGGATGGGGGGTGGGCAGACAGAGGAGGAAAACACCAAACTCCCTGCTGAGCTCAGAGCCCCATGCAGGGCTGGATCCCATAACCCTGAGATCATGACCAGACTCAAAACCAAGAGTCTGACAAAATCGACTAAGCCACCTAGGTACCCCAAAATATTTTCTGTAGAAGTTTTGTAAACATTTTCTGGAAGGGCCAGATTGGGGTGCCTGGGTGGCTCAGTGGGTTGAGCTGCTGTGTTTGGCTCAGGTGATGATCTCAGGGTTCTGAGATCAAGCCCCAGGTCAGGCTCTCTGCTTAGGGGAAACCCTGCTTCTCTCTCTCTCTCTCTCTTTCTCTCTCTCTCTCAAATAAAATCTTTTTAAAAATAAAAAAAATAATAAAATAAAGGGCTAGGTTGTAAATATTTTAGAGTTTGTAGGCCAGGAGGCAAAATCGAAGATATTATGTGGGTACTTACATAGCTATTGCAAATGTAACTATTTCAAAAGTAAAAACCATTCTTGGGGCTCCTGGGTGGTACAGTTGGTTAAGCCTCCAACTCTTGGTTTCAGCTCAGATCGTGATCTTGGGGTCATGAGATCAAGCTCCCTGTCAGGCCCCTTACTCAGTGAGGAGTAGCTTGGGATTCTCTCTCCCTCTCTGTCTTCCTCTCACGCTCTTTCTCTAGGATAAATAAATAAGTCTTTAAAAAAAAAAAAAAAAAAAGAACAGGCAGCCACCCAGATTTGGCCAGTAGGCTGTTTGCCTGTCTTTACGCTATAATTATTCCCATTGGAAAGAAAGCATTCAGTCTTACCTATATCATCTGATCATATTCTAGATTTTTCTTAAGAAAAATGTGGTTATTGGGGCACCTGGATGGCTCAGTGGGTTAAAGCCTCTGCCTTCGGCTCAGGTCATGATCCCAGGGTCCTGGGATCGAGCCCCTCATAGGGCTTTCTGCTCAGCGGAGAGCCTGCTTCCTCCTCTCTCTCTCTCTCTCTCTGCCTGCCTCTCTGCCTGCTTGTGATCTCTGTCTGTCAAATAAATAAAAAAAATTTTTAAATCTTTAAAAAAAAAAAAAAAGTGGTTATTTAGGCATCCTCCAAAGAGCTTCTGATAGCTTTATCTTCCTAATGCCATCAGTGGTTAGTTAGTAGGTCTTCCTCCTTTTTTTTTTTTTTTTTATTAACATAAAATATATTATTTGCCCCAGGGGTAGTCCTTCCTTCTTCAGAGATGTTTACTCCAAGACATGAGAGAGAACAGTTGTGTCTCCTGCAAAAGAGTACTCCGTCTTTTCTCATACCTCCTCTTTTCCATAGGTGAGGAATAGATAACTCACAGTAGTATATATTTTCTTTCTCTTTTTCAGCTACGTTTGGATGAAGCACAGGAAGCAGAGTGCCAGGTTTTGAAGATGCAGCTGCAGCAGGAACTGGAGCTGTTGAATGCATATCAGAGCAAAATCAAGATGCAAGCAGAGGCACAACATGATCGAGAACTTCGAGAGCTTGAACAGAGGGTCTCCCTCCGCAGGGCACTCTTAGAACAAAAGGTATAAGTAATATGAGGAAGGTAATTGTGCCAGTGTTTGCTTTCAGCAGAAGCATTAAGTCTTTTCATATTGACAGGTGACATTGAATTGTTTTCACAATACGGTATCTCCTTACTTTCGGTTTTGGTAGTGTTTTTCTTTTTCTTTAAAATTACTGCTTTACGGTGCCTGGCTGGCTCATTCAGTTAAGCATCTTCCTTTGGCTTAGGTCATGATGCCAGGTTCCTGAGATGGAGCCCCACATCAGGTTTCCTGCTCTGTGGGGAGCCTGCTTCTCCCTCTCCCTCTGCCACTCTCCCTGCCTGTGCTCTCTCAGATCTCAAATAAATAAAATCTTTTTAAAAAATATTTAAAAATTTGGGGCACCTGGGTGGCTCAGTCATTAGGTGTCTGCCTTCAGCTCAGGTCATAATCCCTGGGTCCTGGGATTGAGCCCCACATAGGCCTCCCTGCTCGGCAGGAAGCCTGCTTCTTCCTCTCCCACTCCCCCTGCTTCTGTTCCTTCTCTCGCTGTGTGTGTGTGTGTGTGTGTCTGTCTGTCTGTCAAATAAATAAGTAAATAAATAATTTTTAAAAAAATAAAATTTAAAAATTCAAAAATGAAATTATTGATTCAACAGTGAACCTTACAATTATTGAGTACTAAACATCAAGGGAATATAATTAAGTAGTAATTGCTAGAGGAAGGAATATGGGGTTATGTGAAGACAGTTGAATTGGGAGAGAGTAGCTCCGGCTCCGTGTTCCTCACTTTTATGTACCTAGCTCTACCTAAGGATATTGGAGAAAAACTTGGATAGTGAAGAAAAAGAACATTAGTAGTTGCCTGGGAGAAGTGGGGACAGAGGATCAGGAATATATACTTCACTTGTGCATCCTGGACCTGCAGTTATACAGATTGGTGGAAGATAATTAGAGGACAGAAGACTATTTTCACACAGGTGAAAGATCAGGCTGAAAATGTTACTTGTAGTTGTATCTTCATTTACTTATTACTTATTCTTTGTCAGGTATATGAAAGAATAGAACTAAAATCCCCAAATTCATTTCATCCTTTAAGGTAGTAAACTTGTGTGTGTAAGTATGTGTGTGTTTTGGGGGAAAGGATGATGAGCAGAAGATTTTGAAGAGAGAGGAAAGCATTTGTTGCTAGAACTGTAGTTGACCCTTAAGCAATGTGGGGGTTAGGGGTTGCGACAACCTGTGCAGTTGAAAATTTCATATGGGGTGCTGGGATCTGCCTTTGGCTCAGATCATGATCCCAGAATCCTTGCTCAGCAGGGAGCCTGCCTCTCTCTCTCTCTGTCTCTCTCTCTCTCTCTCTCTGTCTTGCTCCCTCTCTGGCAAATAAATAAATAAAATCTTTAAAGAAAAAAAGAAAATTTGCATGTAGCGTTTTCTTACATGTATGAAAGTGACCAGAAGCCTTACCGATAAAACATAAATATTCTTATCTTACCGATAACATAAATATGTGTTAACCATTAACACATATTTTGTATGTTATGTGTATTATATACTGTATTCTTACAATAAAGTAAGCTAGAGAAAAGAAAATACATATACAGTACCTTACTGTTATCTGTCTGTAGTACTGTACTGGGAAAAATCCACATGTAAGAGGATCCATGTAGTTCAAATTCATGTTGTTCAAGGGTCAGCTGTAGTAGAATATCAGTTGTATCCAGAATTTAGAGCTGTGTTGAAGAATTCCTGACACAGGGATGCCTGGGTGGCTCTGTCAGTTAAGCTTCTGCCTTCGGCTCGGGTCGTGATCCCAGGGTCCTAGGATCAAGTCCCACATCGTCCTCTCTACTCAGTGGGGAGCCTGCTTCTCCCTCTGCCTGCTGCTCTCTCTGCTTGTGCTCTCTCTCTGACAAATTAGTAAGTAAAATCTTAAAAAAAAAAAAAAAAAAAAAAAAAATTCCTGACACAACCGTTTCCCAACAGCTCTTTGGTCCATTGTAAGTGAATACTTGCCTAATGGTCTTGCCTAATGAAAGTTGTTACTGTTTTTGGATAAAAATACAATGCCTTCTTATATTCAAAAAATAGTCTTAAAAAAATCCACTTAACTAAGATGATACTATTTCCCTGGGACAGCTGTCTTTGTTACTAGCTTCTTTGAGAGGTATTTGGCTATAAAAATTACCTTGGTTTTGTTTCTTATTCAGGATGAGAAAGATTGAACACATAAATTTTGAGAAAAATCTATAGTTTATCAGATTTATAAATCTGATTCCAGTTTGAACATTTAAAATTCAGTCTGAAGTTCTGTCGCTTACGCTTCAAAATTACCACTATAAGGAAAACCTCCGTAGTTTTTAGAAATAGTGTCATGAAAGAAATAGTGGTACTATTAAAATATATTTGTATTTTTAGGGATGCCTGGGTGGCTCAGTTGGTTGGACGACTGCTTTCAGCTCAGGTCATGATCTCAGAGTCCTGGGATCGAGTCCCGCATCAGGCTCCCAGCTCCACGGGGAGTCTGCTTCTCCCTCTGACCTTCTCCTCGCTCATGCTCTCTCTCACTGCCTCTCTTTCAAATAAATAAATAAAATCTTAAAAAAAAAAAAAAAATATATATATATATATATATATATTTGTATTTTTAGCTCCACCTAGTGGTTCAGAGTTAAACAGTGCTAATTAATAACTTAGATACAGCTTTATTTCAGTATATGAACCAAAGTCTACATGTTTTACAAAGCCTGGTTTGAAACCGATATCCATAGGTGAAGGTGCAGTAGTACTCTCATATACTATAAATGCATTTTGAAAAGCAATACAGATGTATATATTGAGTTCTGGAATTGTTAAGCATTTGAGACTTTGAGAATTTAGTCTAAGGAAAAGAAATCCAAAATATAGGGGAAATTATGCATATAAACAGTCATTATAACTTTTTTTTTTTTTAGGATTTTATTTATTTATTTGAGAGAGAGCCAGAAATAGTGACAGGGAGCGTGAGTGGGGAGGAGAGGGAGAAGCAGGCTCCCTGCTGAGCAGGTACCCGGCATGGGACTCGATCCCAGGCCGCTGGGATCATGACCTAAGCTTAAGGCAGATGCTAACTATGTGCTAACTATATGCTATAATAGGCACCCCCATTATAACATATTTATCATGATTTAAAACATCTAACCATCAAGGTTAGTAAAGGGGCGGTGAGCAGGCAGGTTAGTAGGTGGATGGATTAAATGGGTGATGGGAATTAAGTGCACTTGTTGTGACAAGTACCAGGTGTTGTTTGTATGTGATGAATTGCTAAATCTTATACCTATAACTAATATTACACTCTGTGTTAACTAACTGGAATTTAAATAAAAACATGGGAGAAATTAAAAGATAAAAGAAAACACCTAACCATCTGAATAGAGATATAATTAAGTAATTATGGCCAAGCCAGTGAAATCTTATTCATTTAAGTGATGGCTACAAAGCCAGTATTAATATGGGAAAATGCTTATGATGTGTTGAATAAAATAAAAAAGACAATTTACAGCAAATTCAAAGAATGTTAGTAGTAGCTGTATTAATACAGTAGATTTGTTCTGTTTTCTGCCTTTTAAAATACTACTTTGATAATGGAAAATGGTTATGATTATTTAGTATTAAAAATAATAAAAGAACAATAGGATGACAAATCTACAGAGCCTTCAGTTGCTGCTTGGTTTTTAGGGCTAATGTTTACATTTCAGTTGAAGCCCAGGTCCGTAAAGCGGTTTGGGTCAGTTGGCAACTACCAAATCCATGTACCCTCCCTATAAAAACTTTGAAAAATTTTAACAGCTATATTTCTACACTTCGTGCTTACTGGTTATACAGAAAAGAAGCAGTCGTCTGAAAATAAATAGAGGTGAAATCTGAGTGAATGTTATAATTCTGTTTGAGGATTATTTTCAGCCTCCAAATGAACCAAAACTGTTCCTTTAGGTTGAGACACCAAATAAGTAAGTCTCAGTTGACTCAAATGAGGTCTTACTACAACTTTTCTCATACTTCATTTACATTAAAAATTCAGCAGCATAACATCACTGTAAATGTTAAATCCCATGTGAGTTTCATACATGCATGAAAAGTATCAGTATCTCCCAAGTATAAATGGGCTTTTTGTTTGTTTTGTTATTTCATTTAGTTTTTCTCTCAGTATTTCGCAGCATCAGCAACATGGTTGGTAATTCTTAAATAAGAATTGACAGTTGGGGGCGCCTGGGTGGCTCAGTGGGTTAAGCCGCTGCCTTCAGCTCAGGTCATGATCTCAGGGTCCTGGGATCGAGTCCCGCATCAGGCTCTCTGCTCAGCAGGGAGCCTGCTTCTCTCTCTCTCTCTCTCTCTCTCTGCCTGCCTCTCTGTCTACTTGTGATCTCTCTCTGTCAAATAAATAAATAAAGTCTTTAAAAAAAAATTAAAAAAAAAAAGAATTGACAGTTGGGACATTTTATAGGTCCTTTCTTTGTTGAACTGAAAATATTCACACAAAAATACATTTTATTTCAAAGGAGATAGGTTGGAAGAGCCTCTCAAAAGTCTTAATTATGGTAACTCTTAATCTACCCAGTGAAGCCACCTTGCTAACTTGCAAAAATAAGTAACATGTTTTAAAAGAAAGGGAAATTGGGGCACTGGGTGGCTCAGTCAGTTGAACTTCGTCCGCCTTAGGCTCCAGTCATGATATCCAGGTCCTGGGATCTAGCCTTGCATAGGGTTCCCTGCTTGGTGGGGAGTCTGCTTCTTCTCCCTCTGCCCCTCCCCCTGCTTCTGCTCTCCCTGTCTCTCTCTCTCTCAAATGAGTATATAAAATCTTTATATATTTTTTAAAGATTTTATTTATTTGACAGAGATCACAAGTAAGCAGAGAGGGAGGCAGAGAGAGAGAAGGGGAAGCAGGCTCCCCGCTGAGCAGAGAGCCTGACGTGGGGCTCGATCCCAGGACCCTGAGATCATGACCTGAGCCGAAGGTGGAGGCTTCAACCCACTGAGCCACCCAGGTGCCCTGAGTATATAAAACCTTAAAAAAGGCGGGGGGGGGGGGGATTAATATAGCCTATCACAAATCTTAGTTTCATTTTTATATTATTGAGAAATGTTCTGAGTTTCTTAAATGACAAAACTGAGCAAACAAAATTGAAGCAATGCTTACTAGATTAAAGGTTGATAAGCATTAATGTGTTTTATATTTTTGTTATGAGTTTCCTTTAGATAATATGCAAAACATTCAGATCAGTTACATACTCAGCACATTCACATCATTTATTAAATCCCTTGAATTAAAACAAATGCTTTTAGTAAATGGACTTTTAAAAGTTTTACATTAAAAATATTTCAAAGATAAATTTGAATTTCTTTGAATCCTTAATCTCTATATGAATCCTAATCCTTAATCTCTACATGAATCCTAATCCCTATATGAATTGGGTATTTTATATGTAGTTATTAAAAATGGAAAATCATTTTACAAATACCCAGCGATTTTTCTTAAAACTTGACAAGTTTAGGGGCACTTGGCTGACTCAGTCATTAGAGCATGTAACTCTTGATGTTGGGGTTGTGAGTTTGAGCTTCACATTCAGTGTAGAGATTACTTAAAAAATAAAATCTTTACCAAAAAAAAAAAAAACTTGACAAGGTTAGGAAAACATAAACAGAAATTAAAATGTCTGTAGTCCCACCACTCAGAAATCACAGTTAACAAATTTGATGTCTTTCTCTCAGAAGCATTCATGTCTAATCTTAAATTCTCCTTCAGCCTTCATATGAAATGTTCAGTTCAAAACTTTGTAACACTTTAGTACTTAGAATGTTCAATAATTTTCTAACTCTTACTGGAATCCATTTTGGCCCCAATACTTCTTATTTTATCATTTTCCCATGCCTTTGCACATGTTACTTTGGCTGAAAATATCTTTTCCTCCCCTTTCTCTTCCTGGTAAACTTGTATTCTTTCACAATCCAGTCTCTACCACCTCTTCTGGGAATACTTTGCCCTCATCTTTCTCCCTTACAAAATGAATCACTCCATCCCTTCTTATTTCTGCTATACCTTGTAAATCTGTTATTACATCTTACCACATTCTGTGGTGATTTTTTTTTTAAAGATTTGATTTATTTGACAGACAGAGGTCACAAGTAGGCAGAGAGGCAGGCAGAGAGAGAGGGGGAAGCAGGCTCCCTGCCAAGCAGAGAGCCGGATGCAGGACTCGATCCCAGGACCCTGGGATCATGACCTGAGCCGAAGGCAGAGGCTTTAACCCACTGAGCCACCCAGGCACCCTCTATGGTGATTTTTTATTTGCATGTGTCTCCCATGCCAAACTTTTTTAAAAAGGACACTCCTGAAAACTTGATGCATAAAAACTAAATGTATTTGTTGAGTTAGATTTCTGCAGAGAGCAATGAATATTGGCTTAAATCTTCAAATACTTTGATAACTGATGTAATGCTCCTTTATAAATTCTCTTTATTTCTTATTTTTTAAAAACTTTTTATCATGGAAATTTGCAAACACACACAGAAGTAGGAGGAATTAGTACAATGAAATCCCCAAGTCCTTACCCAGTGTCAACAGTTATCAATATTTTGCTAATTTTTTCTTATCTCTCCCCCTGCTCCCTACATACAACTTTGCGGTGGAGGCAGGAGGTGTGGGAGGGAGTTTCAGCATACCATCATTTGATTCCAAAATATTTTGGAATCAAATAAGGACTTTCTGACTTTGACATAACCATAATTCCATTGTGATATCTAACAAAATTAATAATGAATTTTTAATATTATCTAATACTCAGTTCATGCTTTAATTTCCCCTTTTATCTCAAAAATGTCTTAAGTTGGTTTATTTGGATAGGGGCCCAAAGTCCAGGCATAGCATTTGGTTAATTACCTTTTAAGTCTTTTAGTCTATAACCACTATCCCCCACGCACACACCATTTTTTTTTGTTGAGGATTGGATCATTATGCTCTGTAGGAATTCTCACATATGGATTTGGCTTATTTCATCCTCGTAGTGTCATTTATTTATTTTTTTTTTAAAGATTTTATTTATTTATTTGACAGGCAGAGATCACAAGTAGGCAGAGAGGCAGGCAGAGAGAGGAAGGGAAGCAGGTTCCCCGCTGTGCAGAGAGCCCGATGCGGGGCTCGATCCCAGGACCCTGGAATCATGACCTGAGCCGAAGGCAGCGGCTTAACCCACTGAGCCACCCAGGTGCCCCTCGTAGTGTCATTTAATGTATTCCTCTCTTCTTCATATTTCATGTAAACTGGTAATTAAGTTTTAAGGCATGATTATATTTAGAATAAACTTTTTATTTCAAAAAAATTTTGCAGGGAATGTTCATAAGGGTTATAGTTTACTTCCTTTTGCATCACATCAAGAGACACACAATGTCTGACTATCCCAATTTAAGTGATATTAATATTGATCAGTGGGTTCAAGTTTTGTCAATCTTATCATCCATAAAGTTCTCCAAATTTGTCTTTCATTTTCTATTTCTTAATATTAAAAAAGTTATATACAGTCAACTATATTTATTTATTTGTAATACTTCCAGTTTTCCAGAACTGATTATGATGGCTATCTAGCTATGAATTTTTAGCTACACAGAATCTCCTAACTTTTCGATGAAAACTTTTTAGTTTTTTGTTTGTTTTCAGGTTTTGGTCTATCTGGAATGTGGTGTAATAGGGTTCCCTTCTCATTTTCTTCTAGGTGTTGGCCAAATGTGCTTGCACTGTTTGTTTCTCCCATTTAATTAATTACTGCTTTTGTCTTGCACTGAAAGCCTCCAAACTGAGGTGCCTGGGTAGCTCAGTCAGTTGAGCGTCTGCCTTCAGCTCAGGTCATCATCTCAGGGTCCTGGGATAGATAGAGCCCTGTGTTGGGCTCCCTGCTCACCAGGGAGTCTCTTTCTCCCTCTCCCTCTGCCCCTCCCCCACTCATGCTCTCTCTAATAAATTAATAAATGCCTACAAACTGAGGTCTTCCTTCTCTTTCTCTTTTACTAATTGCCTATTTCACACTAGTACCATAGTTACTTTAAGATTTATTTTTTTATTTTTTAGAGAGATAGAGCACGACTGGGAGGGAAAGAGGGAGAGAGAATCCTAAGGAGACTTCATATTGAGCGCAGAGCCCAGTACAGGGCTGGATCTCATAACCCTGAGACCACGGCCTAAACCAAAACCCAGGAGTCAAATGCTCAACCGACTGTGCCACCAGGTGCCCCTCATATTTATTAGAGTGATATTATGGGATGTCTGATAAGGCTAGTTCCCCATTTTCCTTTTCATTCAACTTCTTACCTAATAGATTTAGTCGCCATTGATCATAATTGCCTTGATTTATTCAGCAGAGGTCATTACCTTTGCCTCTTTTTTTTTTTTTTTTTTAAAGTAGGCTTTATACCCAGTATGAGGCTTGAACTCATGATCCTGGAATCAAGAGTCACGTGTTCTACCAATCAGCCAGACACCCCTGCCTTTGCAGTCGGTACAGCACGTGACCCTTAATTCAGGGTCGTGAATTCAAACCCCGTGTTGTGTTTGGAGCCTACTTAAAAAAAGAGCTTAATTTTACCTGAAACTAATGTAACAACCAACTACAATCAAATGAAAAATAAAGTCGTCTGATTTAATTTTTAAAAAGAACGTGATCTGATACTTTTTTTAAAGATTTTATTTCTTTTGAGAGAGAGAGAGAGCTCGAGCAAAGCGGAAGGGCAGAGGGAGTGGTAGATGCCCTGCTGAGCCAGGAGCCTGTTCCGGTCTTCTTCCAAGGATCCCAACCTGAGCCAAAGGCAGACATTTAGCCAAGTGAGCCACCCAGGCGCCCCTGATCGTGCACATTTTAAAAATATAAATAAATCATGTACAATTCCTACAGGACATCTGAGTTTTCTAATAGAATTTTTAGAAAGTTTTTATTTATTTTTAAGTAATCTCTGTACCCGATATGGGGCTGGAACTCTTGATTTCAGCTCAGGTCATGACCTCAGGGTTGCGAGATTGAGCCATGTGCTGGGTGTAGACTACTACTTATCTTTCTGTCCCTCTTAAAAAAAAAAAAAAAAGTTGCGTGCGCTTCAGACTGAGCCATCGAGGTGCCCCACCCACTTCAGTTTTTAAATGTACATCCATAAAGTAGAGTAGCCAAAGTGAACCTTTTTTTGATTCACTTCTAAGCTGAGTTATTATTGCTTCCTTAGTTTATAGATCTTGAAAAATACATCAGCTTTCTTTTTGCTTCTTTCCCCAACCCCAAACAGATTGAAGAAGAGATGTTGGCTTTGCAGAATGAACGCACAGAACGAATACGAAGTCTGCTGGAGCGTCAAGCCAGAGAAATTGAAGCTTTTGACTCTGAAAGCATGAGACTAGGTTTTAGTAACATGGTCCTTTCCAATCTCTCCCCTGAGGCATTTAGCCACAGCTACCCGGGAGCTTCTGGTTGGTCTCACAATCCTACTGGGGGTCCAGGACCTCACTGGGGTCATCCCATGGGTGGCCCACCACAAGCTTGGGGCCATCCAATGCAAGGTGGACCCCAGCCATGGGGTCACCCTTCAGGGCCAATGCAAGGGGTACCCCGAGGTAGCAGTATGGGAGTCCGCAATAGCCCTCAGGCTCTGAGGCGGACAGCTTCTGGGGGACGGACAGAGCAGGGCATGAGCAGAAGCACGAGTGTCACTTCACAAATATCCAATGGGTCACACATGTCTTATACATAACTTAATAATTGAGAGTGGCAATTCCGCTGGAGCTGTCTGCCAAAAGAAACTGCCTACAGACATCATCACAGCAGCCTCCTCACTTGGGTACTACAGTGTGGGAGCTGAGTGCATATGGTATATTTCATTCATTTTTGTAAAGCATTCTGGTTTGTGTTTACTAATTGGGATGTCATAGTATTTGGCTGCCGGGTTTTGTTTTGTTTTTTAACTTTTGGAAAAATTTTGAAAAGGGGAATTGATGTGTGTATGTAAAAAGATTGGCTACATTGGGGGTATTTACTGAACATGGGAAAAATAGAATGCAGCATAGTGGCTTGAGTCATCACTTTGGGGCAACTATAGCCTAAGAAATTTGGGAAAGATGGAAAGCCTGTCTGCATACCCCAGATTCTCATGAGCCACTCACAGCAGGCAGCATATGCTGAAACAAGTGATTATGGAAACACACCTGTATCCCCTCATCAGTGTATTTTCTTTATTAAATTGGTCTGACTTCTCAGCCTCATTTAGAGTAAAAAAGTGGAAATCCATGAACACTAAAGGGTTGCATTGACTTTTTCAGAGAGTAGAAAACAACTTAGTTCTTTTTCTGAGTGGTGCATAGGTTTGTCAGTTTTTGTTTATCGTTTTGTCCGTTCAATTGTGCCTTCTTTGTGGCATGGTGAGATGGAGGTGTTCAAGAGATCACTGAGTTGTGTGGGAATTGCATCAACAAACCTGTGAGCCTTCAAAGGGGAGACCAGAGGGTGAGAGAGGCCCTTGAAAGTTCATGCGGTGGGTATGTTCAGCAGCAGAGTGAGGAGATGAAGCCTATATATCCTAATGTTTTGTTGCTTATACTGTGATATCTCATCCTAGCTAAGCTCTGTAACTCCCAAGACCCCAGACAGTACTTTTACTTTATACGAAAACAAAGACATGTAGCCAATACAAGTCAAATGCCAGAGGCATTTGAATGATGCCATATTTGCAAACTGCCATCCATTGGAATTCTCATCACACTACAAAGACATAATTTGATTACCCCCCCTTTGGCTTATGGGATTTCCTGTTTACAAGTAGAATAGCCAATTATTTAAATGTGTAGTTGCCATAGTGAACCAGGAGTCACTGAGCCAATGACTTTACCAGCTGCTGACTAATCCTCATCACCACTGTAGATTTTGCTGCATGTGCAGGTCCTTTTTTTTTTTTTTTTTTTTCCTGGCTGTTTTTGTTGCTGCAATACTTTACAAACTTCTAGTTCCTTGAGACTTAGTGACCATTTGGCATCATGTTAACATCACACAATAGGAAACACCACTTCCATAAGTCTCTAGCCTCAGTGCTAAAGTACTACTGAAAAGGAACTAGCAAGTTTGGCAAATTAAAAAAGAAAAAAAAAAAAAAAGAAAAAAGTTAAGTTATAGTGGTCAGGGAATCTCTTAACAAAAGCTAACTTTTTTTCCCAGAGAGGGGCATATTTTGTTTTGTTTTGTGTTTTGCAATGAAGGATCAACCCAGTGCTAAAAGTCAGATGTTACTTGGTATTCCACAGCCAGTGTGGAAATTGAGTTGAAGGTGGGTAAGGAGCTATGAGTATGACTTGAAGGAAAAAAATGTCCTTTCCAGTGAGATCAGCGTTTCTTACAAGTTATTGTCCTGCCCCCTCCCCAGTTGTCTTGAAGAACCCTTGCTGCTAACTCTGGGTCCTACTTTTCATGTGGTCAGAGGGCTCCAAGTTAGAATTCTGTAAGTCATTCTCAATGGTACTCTTCACCTAGACCTGACTAATGACCAAACAGTAATCTAGCACTGTTGAAATCTTGGTTTTGTCAGCCAAATTTAAGTCTTCCCCACATACATCAGCTTAATCTCCATGAATCCCCTCTAGGTGTTTCTGGCATTTCATTTAAAGGTAACTAGAAGAAAAATTAATATTTTAACGTAAATCTTTTTAAAACCAAGATAACAGTAGAATTCACACTCAGTTGTAGGCAGTGTTTCGGGTAGTACTTGGATACATTGCCCTTTTGGCCATGTTCAAGATTACCAGTTTTTAAGTGAATATAACATGAACTTGTCCTATCTAATGAAAGGGGCTTTTAATTTTCTCAATATCTTTTTATGCATTAAAATATACAGTATTTCTAACAAATTGAGAAATGTACCTGTTTGGAGGAAAATGACAGGAGACGTCTTTAAAATTAAAATTAATTAAATGTCCAAATATGTGATGGAATTTGATACCTTTTAAAAAACTATTCAGGCTGACCCTTCTGTACTACTGGAGGGGTGGATTAGGGGAGCAAATCAATTTTGTATACATAACTCTTTAAAATCCAAAACACTACCAGTGATTCATGTTAAAGTCTACTTGTGGACTTGAGTTAGTCAAATGGAGTTACTGAGTTCATATATACTTGTAATTGTGATTAAATACGGACTCCAAATGTCTATCCACTAGGGCTTTGTATCTTGATATGTGTGGCAACCAGTTTTACATGTAGGTCATGACTATACTGGATTATTCCATTAAGTTAATTTTAATTAAAATATTTATAGTTTGCAAAAATAATTCCAATTAATTGGTTTGTGTGTGTTTGTAAGATCTAACTTCTGAGGAATCTCATATATGGTAGGAATCATCAAGAGTAAAGCTTGTAGCAGAAAAATTTGAAAGGTTTTGAGAGATCCTAGAGAAAGAAGCAGGCACTTTCTGAATCGGTGTACAAATGTCAACATTTGATCAAATTAATACTACCTCCTCCCCAGTGTTGGTGTTCACTTGGTATATATGTATTTAAGAAAATAAAAAGTATGGGAAATTTGTCCAGCATATCAGAAAGTTGCAATGCTATATCTGGTATCCAGAACTTGGCAGTAAAATGTTTCTTGTGTTCACTGTCTCTCCTTTTTTTTAAGTTAGCATTTAAAAAATGCAAAACCTCATACTTTGAAATATATTATTGCTAATTGGGTTCCCTTCCTTTTGCACATACTTTCTCTGTTCTTATTAAACTTTGCTCTAACCCCAAATTACAGTATTTGAAAGTATTTTCATTGATACAGATAATGTTAGCTGGAAAATGTGTTTATATAACTTTTATTTAGCGCTGCCATTCTTTTTAGTCATTTCTGTGCCTACAGATGAATAGTACTGCGTTTCAACCACCCCCACAGGTATAATATGCTTGGTACCCAAGGCCAAGGATTTTTTGATGAATTGAACTTTATAGCATAGTCATGATTTTCAGCTGCCTAGACTTAAGTCAAGACCATTGAGTACACTAAAACTGTCCTTGACACTTCCTCCTATTTTTCCTCATCCTCTATCCAAAAATTGAAAACTCTATGAGTATGTTTTTCAGACCATAAGGCAGACTTTAGTAACTTTCTACTTCTTTAAGTACTAAATGTCTGGCATTTTAAACTTTTATAGAATACATTGTGTTGGACACTGGAATAATACTGTTTATTTTCACCTGTGAAAAATATTGTACTTGAAACACCTCCTTTGCATTTCTCCATGTGTGCCATTCACTAGTGGAAATAAATTGTATTATACCATGATCTACTGGCTTTTTAAAACTGTGTTAAATATGCACATTTTGGTATAGCTATTATCATTTGTATGTATATATTGTATATACATATGAGTGTCTATATGTGTGTGTAGATAGGTGGATGTAATTCATACTGTACATTTCCATCAGGGCGCTTAAGGTTCTGTTATTTTGTTTGTTACTTCAGTCCTCAGTTAAGGCAAGAATGCATGTGTTTCTTAAGAATGAGTATTCTGGGTTGATATTTATGAGAAGGTGGTCATTAGATGCAATCTTTTCTTTTTTACTCCGTTCTTAGCACTTGCGTGGGTGGTAAGAAAGTTAAGTAAATGTGGAACCATAAGTTACAATCCAGTAAAATGTTGCTGGGGAAGGAGCCAGTCAGTGTTTCTGTGAGTTTGTGTTGTGACGCAATAAAAGATAAGTGATGCAGAGAGAAATGAACCGTGGAAGTTCAAAACACTGGTGGTGATTCCTCTGCAAAGATGATGAAAAGAACCAGGAAGTCGCAGTCTCCATGTGCTCAATCTAAACGTGATTTTTAGGAGTGATGCCATTGATCCTCTTACTCTTTTTACTCCACTGACACTAATACTTACAAATTTTGTTAAGGACTGAAACAGCCAAGAAAGGAATTACTGCTAAAGCATCTAAGGTTCTCCTAAACTGTGAGATCAACAGGAAATGGCCACTGGGAGAGAAGGATACGGTATTGGTGTGGGGCTTTCTCCCTTGATCTGCCCTCTCTTGCTTGCTAATAGTAAGTTCTTCGTGCACCTTCCAGCCCTTCTGAGCCACTGCTATTAAGCACAGATTTGGCCCAACACAGCAAGCCTTTCCTGGGAGGTTTATATGGTCCTGCATTCTGTCCCTTGCTCACAATGTGAAGTGTTTAGTGTGTATTCGAGTCAGAAAATAATATATTTAAGGCGTATAAGTGTGAATCTCCTATTAACGGTGGAAGAAGAGGTTCTTGTTTCTTAGATAACTACCTTCTCTAAGGAACAAAGCCAAAACTCGGGCTGTCATCTTTGAGCTGCTTACCAAGATACAGATCGTTATTAAAGAGAAATGAATTCTCTCTGTTTTGTTTTTCCCTCATCTAACGTGACAGTGCCCCCAACCAGGTTGTAGCATTGCCTTTGAGAAGGCACTCACTCACTCCTAGTTAAGAACTGGAAATTTGCCATCCTCATGAAGACTGTGCTGTACACTTAGCAGACTTGCCTCTTGTATGCAGGGACTACTGATTGAAGTCTATTTTGCTGTGTGTGTGGTTATGTTGTCTGCACTTTTATGAAATCACCACAATAGATCTACATTGGAAATGACTATTAATTTGTAAGGAAGTAAGTTTTATTTAAACACTGTCTAGAGCAAGAAAGTGAAGCTGAGAACTCTTCCGTTAATGTACATTTATATTTTCTACTGAATTCTGGTAGCCCCCTTAAAGTCATGTTGACTAATTTTTCCCTCGTTTATATTCAGATTTCCAAAATTTCACTCACACAAGGGAAGAAAACCCATTTGGCTTAATGATAGCTTTCAGATTGTAAGAAATATAAATTAGTATGCACCTTATCTGCCTGTTGTGGGTTTCTTAAACTTGCACTTCCCTCCCACCCACCCAAAAATAGATATCCTTTAAAGAAAATAAAGGCAGAGAATTAAAACTGGGGAGCCACTTACTATGTCACCATCACTGTTAACTTGTTTCCCAGCAATCCTTTTTGAAGTTTCAGAGATATTTTTTTGTGTGTATGTATGTGTCTTTCTGATTGCTTCGGGTTTATTTTTTGAATTTAAATATACGAGAGATTCTTCTTTAATAGAGAAAAAAGTTAATCCTCTCTGAAACAGGATGCCCACTGGGTATACCAACTTGGACATCTGTAGGTAGTTTGCCATGAAAAAGTGGAGAGAAGATGAGACTTCTGAATGAATGAAAAGGGTGTCTTGA